CATGTAGACTCACCAGAGAGAGAAAGCAAGAAATCACCCCCCAGGGGGAATGACCACACCACAATCCCTTCTCCTCCATTCTCCTCTCAGGATCTTGGGCACGCACACACATGCACCCAGTGTGAGTTTCAAACCACCAGGTCCAGGACTCAAACTGCGGTCAACTGTGTTGGAATCCAGCAACATAACCAATATGTCATCTGCTCAACCCAATCCATGACTTTTTTTTTTTCTTTTTTGGAGAGTTTTTTTGCTATAGGGCATGTGCACTTGCCAGAAAGAGAGAGATAGAGAGACAGAAAGCAAGAAATCCCCGCCCCCAGGGGGATGGCCACACTATAATCCCTTCTCCTCTATTCTCCTCTTGGGATCTTGGGCACACACGCACACATGCCCGGTGTGAGTTTAAGCCACCAGGTTTGGAACTTGAACCGCAATCGACTACATGGGAGTCCAGTGACATAGCCACTACACCAACTGCTGGTCCCCCAGTCCATGACATTTTAACAGATTTTCAATGACGTTTGAAGCCCAAAGAAGATTGAAAACGACTGCTTCTGAGATTAATATTAGATGGTAAAATAAAATCAGTCCCGAAGAATAAGAATGTTTTTGCCTGTTATTCTATTATAAAATAATTTGAGAGGCTGGCTCCATGGCCCGGTGGTTAAAAACAATCCCACTGGGGAGCCAGCAGTTAGCATAATGGCTATGTCGCTGGACTCCCACGTAGTTGACTGCGGTTCGCATCCTGGACCCGGTGGCTTAAAACTCATGCGGGGCGTGTGTGAGTTCGTGCCCAAGATCCCGAGAGGAGAATGGAGGAGAAGGGACTGCGGCATGACCATCCCCCCTGGGGGGATGATTTCTCGCTTTCTGTCTCTATGTCCCACTCTGTCTGGAGAGCACATGCGCCCTATAGCGAAAAACCTCTCCAAAAAAATAAAAAATACAATCCCACTGCACAGGCCTACTGTACAGTTTGAGTCTCGAACCCAGCATCTTGAGAAACAATGCCAGGTAAATGTGCATGTGGGCATTCCCGAAATCTGCAAGGAGGGAGAAATAGAAGAGGGGGTTACAGTGTGACTATTCCCCATTAGGGGGTGCTCTCTCATCTCTTTCTCTCTCTCTGTCTGGTGAGCACATGTGTCCTCTGGCATATTGACAAGACAAATTTGAAGGGGACCAGAAGATGGCATAATGGTTACATTGCTAGACTCCCACATAGTCAATCGTGGTTCAGGTCCCAGACCCAGTGGCTTAAACCTGCCAGGCGTGTCTGTCTCTCTTTGTCTTTCCAGCAAGTACATGAGCCCTATAGCAAAAATCTCTCTTAAAAAAAAAAAAATAGAAAAAGAGAAATCTGATAAAGTGATATTTGAAATAATATAAAATCAGCTAAAACCATCATTTAAAACTGGTTACTTAGGGGCCTGTAAGTGAGGTGGTAGTTAAGGCACTGGACTTCCACTTAGCTGACTGTGGTTTGAGTCCTGGACCTAACAGCTTGCTTTCTCACTTTCTCTGTCTGTCTCTCTCTGGAGTGCCCATGTGCCCTATAGCAAAGTAAAAAATAATAATAATAAATAACATTAATTTTTTAAAAAAAGTCATTACTTTTAAGATGACTTGGTCATTTTATTCAAATATGAGCTATTACTTGTGCCCAGTGAATATCCATTGCAATCTAGAATTTCAGCTGTGCCAAAACTCGGATGATAAATGAGCTAGAGTATAATAAAAAATGTTACCGTCAGAATTTACTCCGTTCATCATGTTGGAATCAAACCTGGTGGTCTTCCCTTGGAAAATATTTTATATCTCTAATTTCGTTGCTTATTGATTCCCTACATTTCCCTAAAGCTGTGTTGTCTGTCTCCTAGGTACACCCTAAAGGCTACTTCAAAACCAAAGAAACAGGAATGTATACTGGAATTTTACTTTAAAAGGAGGATTAATAAAAACTGATGCTCTGGTTACCTTCTGGAGACTTCTATGATTCAGGAACACACCTTTTCAGGTCACCTGTGGATGGTGTTAATTTACCTATCCAACAACTTTGGCTGACAAAAGGAAATTACATGATTAATACTTGGGCTGTAACAGTCCCATTCTTTTTTTTTTTTTTTTTTTGAGAGATTTTCACTGTAGGGCGCGTGCGCTCGCCAGACAGACAGAGAGAGACATAGAGACAGAAAGCAAGAAATCACCCCCCGGGGGGGATGGTCACGCCGCAATCCCTTCTCCTCCATTCTCCTCTCGGGATCTTGGGCACGCACGCACATGCGCCCGGCGTGAGTTTTAAGCCACCGGGTCCGGGACACGAACCGCGGTCGACTACGTGGGAGTCCAGCGACATAGCCATTACGCTAACTGCTGGTTCCCAACAGTCGCATTTCTTGAGTTATGACTCTGATCTAAACGCTTGAAGTACATTATGTATTATCTCAATGAATCCTTACCAACACCTAATGAGATAGCAGTTTATAAATTTTATAAATACCAAACCCAAGCTCTGGTAATATCACAAAGCCAGTGATCAGCAGAACCAGTAGATAGGAAGATGGAAAGTAAAATGTCCTATGAAAGAAGAATAAGATAATGTCCTATGAAAGACAAGTAAGGAACCAGCCCCTTAACCTAGTGGTTAAGGAGCTGGATCTGAGATGCTTGACTAGTTCAAATTCCAGGCCTGGAGGCTTGAAAACCATGCCAGGCACATGTGCATGCATGCCCAAACTCCTGACAGGAAAGAAAGTTAAAGCAGAAGGGATTGTGGAGTGACTACACCTGTTGCGGGTGCTTTCTCCCTCTTTGTCTCTCTGTCTGTCTCTGGCATATACCCTCTGACAATTAAAAAAATAAAAAGGCCAGTAAGATAGCCTATGAAGGATGAGTGAACTGCTGAAAGAAAAGCAATCCTTTTCCTTGTACCGTTGCCATTTCATTACATGGCGAATTTCAGTGCTCCGCCTCAGGCACTATGTCAGAACAATGGATAAGAAAAGCAATCTAGGAATTAAAAGACTACTGGAAAGGATTGTGGGAAATGAATTCATTCATGTAGTTAATTAGCCGATCAGTACATTTAAAAACTAGTGATGGAGGAAAACAGAGTCAAACTTTCAGCGAGTATTTACCGTGAGCAAAGCACAGTGCAAGGTGCTTTACTTAGATTATTGCACTGAATCCTCCTAACCAGGGCCCTGAGAAGGCGTTACTCCCAATTTTACATGTAAGGACGGGGAGGTTCACTGAAGCCGTGCAAGTTTCCCAAAGTCACATAAACAGAAAGGTGAAACGATACGAACCAAGGTCAGCTTTCAAAGGCTATTTCTTTCTTTTCTTTTCTTTTCTTTTTTTTTTTTTTTGGAGAGGTTTTTTGCTATAGGGCACGTGCGCTCGCCAGAAAGACAGAGAGATAGAAAGTGAGAAATCACCCCCCAGGGGGGATGGCTACGCCACAATCCCTTCTCCTCCATTCTCCTCTCGGGATCTTGGGCACGCATGCACATGTGCCCGGCATGAGTTTTAAGCCACCGGGTCTGGGATGCGAACAGTGGTCGACTACGTGGGAGTCCAGCGACATAGCCATTACACTAACTGCTGGTCCCCAAAGGCTATTACTTTCTATTTTATACTATACAATTTTATTTTTTATTTTTATTTATTTATTTATTTTTATTTAATTTTCATTTATGTATGTATGTATTTATTTCTTTTTTATTTCTGATTTATTTCTTATTTACTTATTATTTATTTGTTTGTTTGTTTGTTTGGTTAGCAGGTGTATGCACTCTCCAGAGAGAAATAAGGGGGCAGGAGAAAACACACATCATGGGGAATGGTTACACCACAGTCCCTTCTCCATTTCTCCATCCTGTTGGGATTTTGGGTATAAGCGCACACATGGTATTTCTCAAGCTGCGAGGTCTGGAACTAGAAGCCTGAGGTTGGCCATGTGAGGTCCAGATGCTTTAACCACCAAGTCATGAAACCAGCATTTTTTATTTAAAGATAGAATTTTACTACGTTGTGACACTCTTGCCTTGACCTCCCTGCTGGGATTATGTGTACCACCATCCCCGGCTTTCTTTTTAGGCAGGATTTTGGTATGTTGCCCAGGTCAGCTTCAAGCTCATAACCCTCCTGCCTCAGCCTCCCAGTCACTGGAAAGACAGGCATGCACCCCTACTTCCAGGCTCTAGGTTGGGCCAGGAATTGAACCCAGGCCTCACATGTGATTCCAACCTGCAGAGTATAAGGTCTTAGCAGCATGCCATCATAGCTAGGCCTAAAAGCTGTTATTCAAATTTAAACTATGTGGGTCCAAAGGTCGTGTTATTGAATTTTGTATCCTCTTCAGAGCATAATGTAGTACCTTGTACATTGGAGGTACTTCAAGAAATGTTTGTGGGTTAGTTGCCCATCACGGCAGGCTAGAAGAATAGAACATCAGGAGCCAGCAGGTGGTGTGGTGGTTAAGGCTCTGGACTCCCACATAACCAACCAATCGCAGTTCAAGTCCTGAACCCAGAGGCTTGAAACTCATCCCAGTTTCATGTGCATGTGTGCCCAAAATTCTGAGAAGAGAATGGAGGAGAAGGGATTATGGAATGGCCATCCCCTCTGGGAAGTGATTGCTCTCTTTCTGTCTTTGACAAGTGAATGGGCCTTATGGCAAAAACCTTAAAAAAAATAGTAAATAAAAACAAAGGCACAAAGATATATCTTATTTCCAAATATGAAAAGAGAACTATTTTCACATCCCTTACAGGAATGTTTCTTGAAAGCCAAATTATAGAAAATAACCCCATATGTAAAGCTGTACATAATATACAAAAATCCCAGTACATGCACCTTGTGTATTGCAACTGCATGAGATTGGTGTTTTCCAGATGAACAACTGAGAAAGGTTGAGTCTTGGGAGCAGCTTGGTATTTTAGGAATGCATAGGGTATACAATATAGTCAAAACCTAACAAGTGCAAATCATGGTAAGGTATAAAAGATGTATTAGAAAATACTGAGGCACGGGTGTAAATGCTTAGGCATGTGGCCTGATGGTCTTCATGGTCCACGTGTTCTTTCTTGGCCCAGAGCTGATGCGTCTTCCTCAGCATGCCCAGGTTTCGAGATCAGGTGTCGAAAGTGGTGCCACCCATGAGGGTTTCCTGATGAAGGCCTTGCTCTAATACTCTAGTGTAACCGTCTTGGTTTTGAGGTATTCATTTAGAGCTTCCTCACCTGGGGAAAAGAAATGCAGCTCATGGATCGCATTTAAAGGTGGGTGTAATGGCACCTGATTTACAGACATAGGTGTGTCTCCATCACTGAGTAAATGGGATGTGGCCTAGGCCAGTGCCTCTGAAATGCTGAAGTCCACCCATATCCTGGAGGACTTTGTCAAACTGCAGATTCTGACCTAAGTCTAACAGAGGCCCTGAGGTTATGTGTTTCTAACCATCCCCCAGTGGTATGGATGGAAGGACGCTAGTGATCAATAGACCACACTTTGTGTAGTAAGGGCCTTTCAAAAACCAGAGAGTGCTGGATGATCAACTTCAAGCCAAGACCTTTCCCTGCTTGATGACAAACTTCATCTTTATTCTCTGTGCATTTAGGCTAGACAGAATGACAAGGATACTGTCCTTCAGATTATATTAAATAAAGTAGAACCAAGCACAGGAAAGAAGGTCTGAGAACATCTTATTTTAACGATAAGGGAAATACAGTTCATATTGTATGTTGGAAACGCCGAAGAGTGTGTCTAGACAAAAAATAAATAGGTCTGCCTTTCTTTACCTGTTTCTATTTTGAGCTAGTATAATCATCGATTGGTTAAAGGGCATGGATTTCCATGGTGATGGTAATAAGCATGTGATTCTGGAACTTGAGCTAAAACAAGGGCTACATTTGAATCATCCAGGGAGCTTTTAAAGCTTCTGACTCTGGGTCATACGCAGACCAACACAATCAGTGTCTGTAATTTTCAAGCTCCCAGATGATTCTCATCTAATGTGCAAGTAATAGCTGAGAAACAATAAATTAAGGGGTTTTAAAATTTGGTGAAAAAACTTTTAGGCAAACTCTAGTGTTGTACAGTAAAACAGACCTAAAGCTAGTTGATTATGCTCTATCAAAAGACAAGCTCACTTTTTAATAATAATTTCCCTAGAAAAGTCTCTCACTGTGTTTTAGATCCAAGAATGAAAGCCAGACTGAAGACATGAAGGGAAAAAAAAAGCATTTACCTTCAACCCAATGGAACTTAAAAAATGAGAACTACTTTTACTGCTACAAATACATTGTCGAAAGTCATCAGGAAAGAGAAAACATAAAAACTACCTTAAATGAACCAAACTTATATGAGCAGACTGTAATTTCAGTAAGTCACAAACATCTCAGTTTTTAAAACAATGTGCCAGACTAACAATGGAGTTTAAGAGAGTGCTTCACAGCCACACAGCCTAGCTTTGAACTCTGCCAATGTTGGGCTGTGTGACTTTCGGCAACTCACTCAACCTCTCTGAGCCCCATTTTCCTTATCTGTACAATAAGATGTTAACAGAACCAATCTCCCAGACCTATTGTGAGCCTTGCTTGTGCTCATACAGATGAAGTAGTTAGAGTAGGGCTTGGCATGTGGTTAGCATTCAGAGTAAATCATTGTTTGGTGAGTTACACTTTGGGCTTTTTACAAACTCTAAATCTGAGTCCTCAGACCCCCAACAAACCCACCAGTTGCAGTGTTGACTCTGAAAGTCGGCCAGACAGCTCAGAGACAGGATTTATGCCTGGAGCTAGCCGGTTGTTGCCCTCCACCCATTTTCCTTTCTTGGTTGCATTTAGTCCATGAAAGCTACACCAAGTTCACGCTCAATGTCAGATGAAAAAAAAACAAACATAATTTAGCTGTCATATTGTCAGAGTTTCTTTTCCTTTTCAACATCAATCTTCTCTGGAAAATAAACACTTTTCTATACAATATGTGTACTTTTCTATATATATGTTATGTTCAATAAGTGTTCAACATTTAAAAAAAAGTAGTACCCTCATAAATCCAGATCTAATGGCCGTGTAGGAAATTCCCTTTGGAACAGTATGCGAGTGTTACACGAAATAGAGCCAATTTTTCTGTAATGTGACAACAAAAGGGTATATGCAGTAGAAAAACCAAGCCATACCTAAGTCTTTTCCAAAGCCAGATTGTTTAACTCCGCCAAACGGGGCTGCCACATCCGTCTTGTTGTATGTGTTAATAAAAACAGTTCCTGCTTCTAGTTTTTCACTCACATACATAGCTTTGTTTATGTCTTTCGTGAAAACCCCCGAGGCCAAACCATACTCTGTGTCATTTGCTCGCCGCAACACTCCATCGATGTCCCTACAAGATGTTTTCAGGAAGACAAAACTTCATTAAATGGAAAGCAAGCCACTCTTTTTACATTCTGAAATTTTCCTCTCTGTGCTAGAAACGGGAAAAACATCACTGCTGCCTTCCAAGTTTTTATAAATGACATATTCCAGGCTTATACACCTCGAGTATTGTATTTTCCACATATATCATGCAACCCCTTCTAAAATCTGAGCAAGTCATCTTTTCAGTCTTCTTCAATTGTTCTTGTTCATGACGTTCCTGCTTTCTCCTCTCTCCCTAATAGAATGGGATTTCTATTAATTCATCATGTATTTTGCTGTTTTTCTGTGCAAAAGTGTGTCACAGCTTTCCCGATGACCCAATAGATATATTCTCAGAGCATTTCCCCCTTTTCTTCTATCTCTTCGGGATTTTGCAGACACAGTTTAAGGCCCTTTCAGTGTCTTCACCCTGAAGCCTTTTTAATCTCACCAGGGCCACTACAGAGACACAGATTGTAGGGGTATGAGAGAGTCCACAGTCAGGCTGGAGGGTGACAAGACAGCCAAGTCTTCATTTATTCTTGTGAAAAGTGTAAATGATAATTAAAATCCTGTGTAGTTATCATGAGAATGAAATGTGCTTAAGGTTCCTGGAACACAGTAATTACTAAATAAAAGTCAGTTATAATCAGAGAGTACCTCTCCCTCCAAACTACATAGTTTGGTAGAATGAATTACGCAGTGTTGACTTAACTCTGTGTGTATTTATGGTTCATCCTCCATAAACTGGAGGATGCAAGCTCCCTAAGAGTAGGGATAATGTCTTATACATCTTTATACCATAGTGTTGCATCATCAAGTGAGCATGAATTCCATTACATATGCTTATACAATAAAATAGGGCAGGTGATTTCCTTGCCTGTTGACCTAGCATGTCAACCTGCCCAAGTAAGTGGATATGAGCTGCTCTTGAATCCAGCTCCAGGGTATCCATCACAGTGTGAGTATTTCACCTTTTTGCGTGTGATCCTATGCTTAAAAATGCATATGCATTTTCTTCAAGATGACCAGTAAATGTGAGCTAATTATTTCATCAGATGCTCCAGCAAAGTAACAAGACTATTCAAAAACTGAAGGAGGTCTGGCCATGTAGAACAGTGGCGAAGCCCTGTGCATAGGAAGCTGAATGCCACATGGCTGACCAGGGATCAAATTTCAGCCCCAACAGCTTGAAAAATACACCTGGTACATGAATGCCCAGGAACTTGACATAATGGAGAAATGGAAGAAAAAGGATTGTGGCATGCTCGCAACCTACTGGGGACTGCTTTCTCTCTCTCCTCTGTCTCTCTCTCTCTGATGACTTCATGCTCTCTCTGCCTATTAATATATGTAATTATAATAATATATTATTATATTATATATTCATTTATATATAAACTGTACATTTATATATATAACTATATATATAATTTAGTTGTGCTGAATTTATTGAGAGACAGCACAGGTTTCAATGTAGTGGTTCCAAAGGAATTTTCTCTTTTCTTTTTTTGAAGAGGTTTTTGCTATAGGGCACATGTGCTCGTCAGAAAGACAGAAAGAGACAGAGACAGAAAGTGAGAAATCACCCCCAGGGGGGATGGCCACATCGCAATCCCTTCTCCTTTATCCTCCTCTTGGGATTTTGGGCATGCATGCACACATACCTGGTGTGAGTTTAAGCCTCTGGGTCCGGGACTTGAACTACGCTTGACTATATGGAAATCCAGTGACATAGCCATTACACCAACTGCTGGTCCCCCAAAGGGATTTTCAAAGGTCATCTTGACTATAGACAATTTTAAACTCACAGAAAAATTTATAACCTAACTTGGAGTAAACTGAGACTGCTATAAGTCTTATGCTGCTTGATACATTTCACATGGCAGGGACCCACATATTTATAGACTGCTGGAGAGGCAAAAAGATGGCCATATGCCATTTCTGTTTGAGGACTGTTGAAATGCTGTAACTCCAATAGCCTATATCTAGAATAGTAAGTATAATGATGACAGCAGTCAAATACTTGACTGATTTAATTCTCAGAAATTCCTAAGAAGGTGTGTGTGTATATATATATATATATATATATATATGTATGTGGTATATATGTGTATATATGTGGTATATATATATGTATGTGGTATATATGTGTGTGTGTGTGTGTGTGTGTGTATATATATATATGTATATATACCACATACATACACACACACACACATATATACATTTAATTTTAAGAGTTATTCATTTAATTTTACTTATTATTCTTCTTCAGTTTGACCAGAGAGAGACAGGGAGAGAGAAAGTAAGCCACCAGGTCCAGGACTCGAACCGTGGTTAGCTATGTGGGAGTCCAGTGCCTTAACCACCATGTCACCTGTTGGTACCAGTAGAAGTATTATTAACTGGCCCAAGCTCACAGAGGTAGCAAAGTGAGGAGGCAGAATGCATGCTCTTACCCACTGTAACACTCATGCCTTTGGCCCTCTGTGGACTGATTGCCCCTCTCCTTGTTTGTCTACCCTATTCAACGGCAGGCTCCTTGGGGACATGGACTGTCACTTATCCATGCTTAAATCCCAAACCTCACTGCTAATGTCTGCATGTCTCACCCAAGATTACTCCATAGGGGAATTAAGAAAAAGGGAATAATAGACATCCTTGGGTCAATGTGTCAAATGGTGACTCGCTGCTGCTCAGTATTCCCAAGAGTCTTTTACAACAGACCTACCAAGGAGCAAGATGTCCTTTCAAATACTGTATTCTATTTTGTTCAACTTTTCGTTGTTCAAAGTAAACCTAAAGCCATTCTAAAGAGCTCTCTGTGCAGTATACCAAGAAGCTCCATTGGACTAGAGATGTTACACGTGATCCTCTCTGATACGCCGAACATCTTGGAAGGTGTCATGTAGTACAACAAACCAGTGTATCAGTATCGTTGACGTTGATTATATGGTAATTGTGGACATTCTATAAAAAGGTGAGTATTAGGCTTTGGGGGCATAATCCCTGTGGTGATGGCAGCATTCTTCCTCTGAGAAAATCAGATTTCACTGATGCTCCCTTCCCTAGGAAAGCACATGTGAGCACTATTTTTTTTTTTTTTTTTGCTATAGGGTGCATGCGCTTTCCAGAAAGACAAAGAGAGACAGAGAGACACAAAGTGAGAAATCACCCTCCAGGGGGGATGGCCATGCTGCAATCCCTTCTCCTCCATTCTCCTCTTGGGATCCTGGGCACACACGCACACGCACCCGGTGTGAGTTTAAGCCACTGGGTCCAGGACTTGAACCATGGTCGACTACATGGGAGTCAAGTGACACAGCCATTACGCCAACGGCTGGTCCCGTGAACACTATTTTTGTTATTTCTCAATTACTTACTTTGCTCCACAGACATTTCTAAAGTCAACTATACAAAAACTGAAATTTAATCAGCTAAAACCCCATGATGTCAGCCATTAATTCAAGCTGAGAAGCAAAACTATGAGCAGCTACAATGGTTAGCAAAAGCATACTTTTTTTAATTACTTAAGTTAATTATTCATATTGTAGAAGATTATACGCTTATTGGCTTTATGCTATCTATATATAGCACAGCAGCAGGGGAAGAAAGACTTTAGTCGAAAACCTAAGTTAAGTTGTAACTGAAGGACATACCCATTTTGGAATTTAGAAATCACCATAATAGGCCCAAAGGATTCCTCTTTGGCAAGGTACATGTGGTCCTCCACACCTGTGAACACTGTTGGTTCCATAAAAAAGCCTTTTGGAAGAAAGAACATCAAGTATAGACTAAGCCATTGTCAATGAACAGTTCCCTCATTTAATTACATTAGAACATTTCTTTCCCTCTGGCTTAGTAAAGCCAAGAAGAGTTTCATTTCTCTATTTGGTGTTGGCTTTCCTAGGTTTTTATTTTTTTAATGTCTTATGAAAATTTCAAACATGTAGAAGTAGAGACAATAGTAAAATAAATATTCATATTTTGTTATAGTAACTTCTTGCTGAAAGATTTTAAAGCAAATTCTAGATATTATAATTTTCACTGACAAGTATTTCAATACAAATCTGTAAAAAAAATAAGGACATTTTCTTACACAACCACAATTCAATATCTTACACCTAACAAAATTAGTGCTAATCCATTACTAATAGTTTCTATTTATTTATTTATTTATTTAATTGCCAGAGGGCATGTATGCTCAGCAAGGAGAGAGAGACAGAGACAGAGAGAAAGTACCTCTCAGTGGAGTGTGTTACACTGCAATCCCTTCTCCATTTCTCCATCCTGTCGGGATTTTTGGTATGCATGCATATGTGGCTGGCATGTTTTCCAAGCCATTGGAGCTGAGGTTTGAACTACAGTCAGCCATATAGGATCCAGCTCCCTTAGCCATGTGCCATGGGGCTGACCCATTCATACTTTACATTTCAGTTTCCCATAGGGTCTAGAAATAATCTTTTTTTATTGTTGATTTTTTAATTTAGGATTAAAATAAGCTCTACACATTGTATTTAGTTGCTGCCTCTCTTCTGGTTTTAATATAGAAACTTCTCCTTTTTCCCCCTCCTGCTTATATTTCTATTCCATTGTCTTGTGATAAGACTGAGTCAGGCACAGTGGTCCAGGGGTGGTGTAAGCCCTCACAATGCTGGAAGCCATATGGAAAATCAGGGGTTTGGTTCCAGGGTTGACCTGCACATGTCAGGCACACACATGCCTATGATCCTGACTGGCTGAGAGGCTGGGGAGAGATTGCAGCATGAGACCATGATAATTGTGCTTATTCTTTCTTTTTCTCTTTCTCTCATGAAAGAAAGAAAAAAGGCTTTAAAAAATTTTTTACTGGGGCCAGCAGGTGGCATGGTGGTCAAGGTGCTGGACTCCCATGTGGGTGACTGTGGTTTGAATTCCAGCCCTGGTGGCTTGAAAATCATGCTAGGTGCATTTGCATGTGTCCCAAAATCCCAAGAGAAGAATGGAAAAGGGGTTACAGCTCAGCCATACCCCCTCCGGGAGGGGGGGTGTGATTTCGCATCCCCCCCCCATCTCTCTCCAGCAAACACACATACCCTATGGAAAAAGCCTTAAAAAAATTCATGCAGGGACCAGCAGTTAGCGTAATGGCTATGTCTCTGGACTCCCACGTAGTCGACCACAGTTCATATCCCGGACCCAGTGGCTTAAAACACACTGGGCGCGTGTGCATGCGTGCCCAAGATCCCGAGAGGAGAATGGAGGAGAAGGGATTGTGGCGTGGTCATCTCCCCTGGGGGGTGATTTCTCGCTTTCTGTCTCTCTGTCTCTCTCTCTGTGTCTGGGGAGTGCACACGCCCTATAGCAAAAACCTCTTTTAAAAAAATCATGCAGAAATGGAATTAAAATACAAGTTTATTTTGTCACAAAAGATTTTGAAATCCATGCACAAAATTTTTTCCTAATATACATTTTCCATGAACTTTTGGAAGACCTCTATTTCTTATAAATGGAAAGTTTGACTTAAAGGTGTAATTAAGTTCAAGTTAAACTTTTTTTTGGCAAGAACACTTCATAGGTGCTATTATATATTCACTACACATTATATCCCTCAGGAGACACAGAATATCTCCCCCAATTTCTCTAATACCAAGACTGACCAGTGGTTTCAGGGATGACATCATAACTTCTCTATTGTAAAGTTGCGTTTTTCTCCCTCATGCCTGGCAAGCAGTCTTGGGCATGACGCTTTGGTATCTTGCAAATATCATGCTTTACCTAATAAGTTTAGCTTCCATCAACAATCATTCCCTAAATCAATTATTTCATCAATCAGGAATTTTTTTCTTTCATTTTTTTCTACATTAATCAGCAGAGATTTCTGTAAAAAAAAAGTCTCCTTTATCAGCTACTCAGTTACCAGAAATTCAGTTTATACTGGAAACACAGTAGAGATGTTGACTTTTTTCTTGTGATTAACAATATTCTGAGTAAGGTGTTGATGAGGAAATTTTCCACCACAGTGAAAATGAGTTTTTGTAGTTGTTTGTTTCTCTCTCCCTCCTTTACAGTATGGTAACACTGAACCATTCACACACTTCAGTAACAGGGCCTGCTGGAGACCAGAGGAAGGAAGCCTTTCCAGGCTGCGCTGTCTGAGGTTAAATTTCTCAGTACCAAGAATTGAGATCCCCAGGCCTGATGACACAGTTACCAGATATACTTGTTTACGGTAAGGCTCAGGGCCTGCCACATCCTTTTTGTTACTTGATTGTTACAGCTTTGCAAAGCAGGGTGTCCACATCTCATCTCACTTTACAAAGAGGATACAGGCTCAGAGCGATTGTGTCATTCAAGGTGCCACAGCTCATAAAGGGCCAGGAAGGATCTAGTTGACTCTCCTGACCGTATTATAAATGTCACTGTTTGCTTTTATAGTGAGCTGGTGTTGCAGTGAAAACTGTCCCCATCCATTCCAACTCACAAGGCAGGTACCTTACACACCCACTTCCTCACAAACCCTTACACGCCCGCTTTGGGAGCTGAACTTACCTGGCCTTTGGACTTGCCTTCCCCCATACACCAAAGTGGCCCCCTCTTTCACTCCAGCTTCACAGTATTGCAGCAGTTTTTCCAGATGGGCTTTATGATTTTGGGGCCCATGGTCGGTAGATCTGTCAAGTGGATCACCAATTTTCATCTTTTTAATTTCTTCTACCTGTATGCCACCCAGGTGACAAAACACAACTCACTGTCAATGAAAATAATAATGGATAGCCTTGATTGAGCTTCTGCCCTCTGGTGGGGGTTGCACTAAACTGTTGAGGGATGTGTAGTCATTTAGTCTTCACCACAGCACTGCTTTGCAAAGCTGTGACAATCAAGTAACAAAAAGGATGTGGCAGGCCCTGAGCCATACCGTAAACTACAGGTAGGTCTTTATTATTTCCATCTCACAGGTGAAGAAACTGAGGCTTGGGCGGGGGGCGGTGAAGTAACTTGTCCAAGTGCTCACAACTATTGAATACTGTAGACTTTTTCCAAACTTGGGAGCCCAAGTTCTCAACCAGTGTCTTCTAATGGTACATAAGCTATCTAAACTGCATCAAAATTATCCCGAGTGTTAATTCATTTAAAATAGCAAATTGATGTCCTAGATTTTCATAAATAATGCATATTTACACTGTTCATGGCCAAAGAATTTCTAAAATGGCCACATTCCTGTCTTTCTTTTTTCTCTCCAAATGTGGCACACTGCTCTTATAAAATTCTTACAGTACAGCCATGCCAGAGAAATTGTTAAAATGTTCTGTGTTTTGAACAAAAAACAATTTTTGTAACATAGTATTCATCACTGACATATCTTGTAATTGCTTCTTGTGCTTCTTAGTTATCTTAATCTATTTCTGCAATTTTTTCCCCCCAAGAGGGCACATGTACTTGCTTAAGAAAAACAGAGAGAAGAAAAGTGAGAAATCACCCCCGAGGGGATGACCATGCAGCAATCCCCTCTGTTTCATTCTCTTCTGGGGATTTTGGGTATGCATACACATATGTCCAGCATGTTTTTCAAGCCACTGGGTCTGGGACTCCAACCATGGAATCAGCCATGTGGGATCCAGTGCCATAACCACCACACTATCAACTGGCCCCTGTTTCTACATTTTCTAATCTTAAATGCAAGTCTAGTAAGAAGAATAGAAGTTGCTATGATTCAGCTGGGGCACAAATTTGAAACAAGGCCTGGCAATAGTCTTCTCAGTGCCATGCTCAGGGGCTTAAACTGGATGAGAAGCTTTGAGTGGGCAGGGACCATGTCTTCCTTGTTCACCTTTATATTCCCAGCATCTAGCACAGTGTTTGAGACCAAGTGCTTTAGAAATAGCTGCCGAATGAAGGAATGAGTCCAAATAGCACGTGAGTAAAACATGTTTGCTGATAGACTGATAGAGCAAATCCTTGACATTTCTAGTCTTAGCATTTGAAATTTCAAGAAGATGTAGCTGACCCTAAAAGCCTATGATATGTGGTACTATAAACAGCATTTGTACAAATTGAATTACACCGTGATGTTCAGGAGACAGCCAACATTTGCCTCATTATATGACTTTCTTGTCCGATCTTATGAAGAAATAGTAGCTTTACTCTTTTGGTGGGAAATAGGTATAAGGAATGGATGTTGGGGAGAAAAACCTGGATGCTGATTTGGCAGTATAAGCAAATTCATGATGTTATTACCTTCACAATGACAGAAAGTACAATTTAGAGTTCATTTTATCCACAGAATTTACCTTAATAATCCTTCTAGTTCTATATTTATGGAATCATGATCTATCTACAAGGGGTATTTGTTTACTTATTTTAGTGGAAGAAATTATAAGCTGTCTCGTTAATTGAAAATTAGGGTTTATAAGAATCTATTGATTTGTCTTTCATAGTCAATTTAGGGGTTATAAATCTAGTATATTTCTCACAAGTATCAAGAATACTATAAATACAGAGCAAGGTATAGGTGGTGGCAGGTAGGTATACGTTATCATGTTTTTTATGCAGACCTATAACTTTATTATGAAAAATCATATACTATAAAATGTATATGATATAAAATATTTTATATAATATAAAATCAAATACTACACTGGAACCCCATGTGCTCACCATCCAGCTTCAACAGTGACCAACTCCTGGCAAATATATTCCCCTCTCATTTCCCCTCCTCCCATGTTATTTTGAAGCAAATTCCAGATATCATAATAGTTCAAACTGTAAGTACTGGGGGACTTCAAAAAGTTAATCGAAAAATGGGATTAAAGTATGAGTTTACTTTGATGCAAAAACATTTTGAAATCCATAGAGTTTTTCATAGTATGCATTTCCATGAACATTTTGAACACTTACCCCATATGTCACTACGTAGCTGTAAAAAATGATTGATTTTTGACAAACGTAACCACAATACTGTTACCATTCATTATTAATCTTAGAAGCGATTTTTATACAGCTCATAGAGTGAACTGGAGCTATCTTACCACTCTAGTCACAAAGACATCGTGAATGGACTCTTCCACGAACAACCGCCCAGCTGCAATACAGTTCTCTCCTTTGTTGAAAAACACTGCTCCCATGCCCTTCAGCAGCAGAAAGTAAAAATGTTGTTAACATTATTTGAGTTGTCAAAATTGTCATAAAATTGTAGAGGCAGAGAATTAGGTGTTACTGGAAGACAGTAAACAACATAGAGAAGTCCTAGATAGCCCTCTTGGCATCATCAGTGATGAGATCTGCTGGGAGATATTTGGTTTCAACTAAGTGTCTTTTTAATTTTCCTTTTTTGACCCATAATCACTTTTAAAAATTGTATGTAACAATAAGAACATATACCATTAAGAACAAATTATGTGTTGCAAAATAAAAATCCCAATTATTCTGTAAATGTAATACTTGGACACTAAGTTTTGCTTTTAAAATCTTTACTTTTTTTTTTTTTTTTTTTGGAGAGATTTTCACTGTAGGGCGCGTGCGCTCGCCAGACAGACAGAGAGAGACATAGAGACAGAAAGCGAGAAATCACCCCCCAGGGGGGATGGTCACGCCTCAATCCCTTCTCCTCCATTCTCCTCTCGGGATCTTGGGCACGCACGCACACGCGCCCGGCGTGAGTTTTTTAAGCCACCGGGTCCGGGACATGAACCGCGGTCGACTACGTGGGAGTCCCGCGACATAGCCATTACGCTAACTGCTGGTTCCAAAATCTTTACTTTTTTTGTATAAATCGCAAATATTTAGAAAACCTGCATCACCCTCCATGGGAAGGAAAATTTATTTTTCAAGGAGAAATTTCAAAAGTCTTTGAAATGAAGTCACTCAAAATGATAGATTTGGAAGGCTGATGGGTTTTGTGGATCTTCCCCTTTTAAATCCAGTTTATAATTCACCTTCAAAAAAACCTTCCTGGACTGGAAAAAAAACATAGCAGATGTTTTGAAATACACATTTTCTTGTGCATACATTTTATGTTTAAACATTTCAAAAGCATGTTGACCATGTTGGGCTTGAGATTCTTAAATACTAGGATGTTTAAAAATTATCTATTTCTCTTCTGTAGAGTTTGATGGTGGCTAAAAGAAAGGTTCTCTATAATCATTACAGCAGATTTTCTTTGCTTATAATTACTTCACCCTTAGCAATCTTTATTCACTTCTTTTAATTGATGTTATACAATTAAAAGATGTGAGATATTAATGTAGACTAACGTTCAGCTTAGTGCTTTTAAAACCTAACAGATGATGGTATGGGGGGGGGTCACTGTTCTTTTTACTTTCTTTTCCCCGGTCTTCTTCTCTGGAAAATTCTCAGTAACCCAGGCATCCAGGAGAGTCCACGGGAGTACCTGGCCCTCCTTCACTTGCAGACACTTCATTCCCTCTGAAACCCTTGCATGATGGGTTTTGGCTATGGTATTTTTTTTTTTAAGAATTATTTTATTTAACTTTACTTATTATTATTTGTTTTAATTTGACCAGAGAAAGAGACAGAGAGAGAAAGTGAGAAAGCAAGTTGCCAGGTCTGAGATTCGAACCACAGTCGGCCATGTGGGAGTCCAGCGTCTTTAACCACCATGTCACCTGCTGGCCCCAGCTGTGGGTTTTCTTTAAGATTATAGTTAGGGGAACCAGCAGTTAGCGTAATGGCTATGTCGCTGGACTCCCACGTAGTTGACCATGGTTCGCGTCCCAGACCCGGTGGCTTAAAACTCACGCCGGGTGCCTGTGCGTGCGTGCCCAAGATCCCAGGAGGAGAATGAAGGAGAAGGGATTGTGGCGTGACCATCCCCCCTGGGGGGTGATTTCTCGCTTTCTGTCTGTATGTCTCTGTCTTTCTGGCGAGCGCATGCTCCCTATAGCGAAAAAATCTCGCTTATAGTTAGGTGAGATGGTGCAGATTCTAATCAGCGCATGGGCTAGAAGATTGCATAGAACTGGCAGGCCATAGTTCTCATCAGAATTACAAGAAAGCTTAGAAAAAACGCATACCCTGGATTGGCTCACTATATGCCTATAACTCAGAAGTGAAAAGTGAGGACTAGGCTACATTTTAAGGTTTTATTTAAAATGAGCTTTTATTCTTTGGAATGGTTTAGAATCATGAGGTGTTGTAAAAACACTACTAGAGTTCCTGTATGCCCCTCACTCAGTTTCTCTCCATGACATCATCTTACAAAACCATACTACATCATTAAAACCAGAAAATTGATATCGCCAATTGGTCTTTAAATACGGAAGCCTTCGCTGTGTCTAAAAAGTATACCAAAGCTCAATTTGTAAAAGATAAAAATTGAGCTATTTTGGGCCAGCAGGTGGCATGATGGTTAAGGCACTGGACTCCCACATGACTGACCATGGTCAAGTCTCAAACTTGGTGGCTTGAAAATCATGCTGGGGATAGGGAAGAGGGGGAGTGCAGCAGGTGGCATGGTGGTTAAGGATATTGGACTCCCGGGACCAGCAGTTAGCGTAATGGCTATGTCACTGGACTCCCATGTAGTCGACCGCAGTTCACATCCCGGACCCAGTGGCTTAAAACTCACGCCGGGCACGTGTGCGTGTGTGCTCAAGATCCCGAGAGGAGAATGGAAGAGAAGGGATTGTGGCGTAGCCATTCCCCCTGGGGGGTGATTTCTCACTTTCTGTCTCTCTCTCTCTCTCTGTCTGTCTGGCGAGCGCACGCGCCTTACAGAAAAAAAAAAAAAAAACAAACAAAAAAAACTCTCCAAAAAAAAAAAGAATATTGGACTCCCATATGGCCGACTGCGGTTTGAGTCTCAAACCTGGCAGTTTGCTTTCTTACTTTCCCTCTCTTTCTCACTCTATCCCTCTCCAGTCAAATTAAAATAAGTGTTAAATAAAAATAATTCAAAAAGAGATCTAAAAAAAAGATAATCATACCAGGCACATGTGCATGAGTGCCCAAAATCCCAACAGGAGAATGAAAGGAAAGGGATTGTGGCATGGCTCTCCCCCTGAGGGTGATTTCTCCCTTTCCCTATCTCTTGTCTCTCTCTGGCAACAGCATGTGTACTATGGCAAAACCTAAAAAAAGAAAAAAAAAAAGTAGAGCTATTTAGGTTGTTGGTATGACATATGGATGAAATGTTGGGGAGAAAGGAGAAAAAAGTTACAAGCCCCACTAGAATATTTTGTGACTTATGGTTTGAGTGTTATAACATTTCCCATTTGTAAAACACTTTCATAGGAGAAATTTTTACTCTTTTATTTATTTATTTCAGAGTTTTTTTTTTTTTTTTTTTTTTTTTTTTTTTTTTTTAAAACAGGGTGCGTGTGCTCTCCAGAAAGACAGAGAGAGAGAGAGAGAGAGAGAGAGAGATGGAAAGCAAGAAATCACCACCCAGGGGGGATGGCCACGCAGCAATCCCTTCCTTCATTCTCCTCTTGGGATCTGGGGCACGCACGCACATGTGCCCGGCATGAATTTAAGCTACTGGGACCGGGACTCGAACCACGGTCGGCCACATAGGAGTTAAAGGACATAGCCATTACGCCAAATAGGAGTTAAAGGACATAGCTATTACGCCAACTGCTGGCCCCATAAGAGAAATTTAAACACATCATTTTTTAACAATTAAGTGCTCTCAGTATTCCCAAATCTAAGCATAATAAGGATGGTTTTTATTTGACTAGACAAAGCCAAATCTCATTATAAGACCTCCGATAGTCGCCAGGAAACAGTCTCGCTGTCTGTAGACTATGGAGGTGTGGGAATCAGTGACCTTTGAAGATATCACCATTAACTTCACTGCAGAAGAGTGGGTCCTACTGTGAGAAAACTAGACAAAGATGTCATGCTCGAAAATATCAGTCATCTGGCACCGTTGGGTATCAGCTCTGCAAATCAGATGTGATTTTCCATTTAGAAAATGGTGAAATGGCGTGGACAGTGGAAGGAAGAGGATTTTCCCAATGCCAAAATCCAGGTAGGGCAATTTCACATAAACTGCCAGAAATCCTACCCATGCAACAGATCAGCAGGGAGGATGAACTGATCGTCATGTCGATGGTTCTAGAAAGGTGGATGCTCAGAAGTTGGGTGGGCAGGTGGGACTGGACTTGTTACAGCTTCCAGAAAGCCGGAGGAAGGGGCAGGGAGGGAAACTGGCTTTCTAGGCTGACTTTTATACTGTCTTAAGGTCATGTGATGTTATGTGTCATCAGGCCTATTCCATTTAACCTAATCACATTTGTTATTTGACTCTGCATCAGTGCACTTAAATAGGCTTACCAATCCACAGCATTTTAAAAATTGCTTATGTACCTGCAATTAAGAATACATATTTTCTTTAAGAACAATAAATATTTGTGTACACACACACACAAAATAAGACCTCTGATAAAGAAGATGAGAGTCAGTTGCTGGCACAGTAGTAACACAACTGGACCCATGTGGGAGGGTCCCAGGTTCACATCCTGAGGGCCTCCCTGTATATGCTGTGCATCTATGTGTCCATGATCCAGGTCACCTGAGACTGAGGGTGGATCACGGCATGAGGACACCACTGTGGGTGCCTGTCTCTCTGCCTGTTTCTCTCTCTTGCTCTCACAGAAAAAAATAATAAATAAACTTTTAGAAAAGGAGGTGAAATGTGTCTTAGAAATATGTACCTATTGGGGACCAGCAGATGGCATAATGGTTACGTTGCTGGACTTCCACAGTTGACTGCGGTTCAAGTCCCAGACCTGGCAGCTTCAAACTCACACCAGGTGAGTGTGTGTGTGTGCCCAGAATCCCCAAAGGAGAATAAAGGAGAAGGGACTGCAGTGTGGCCATCCTCCCAGGGAGTGATTTCTCACTTTCTATCTCTGTCTTTCTCTGTCTCTCCCATAAGCACACACACTCTATAGCAAAAATCTCGCTCTCAAAAAAAGTAGGTATCTATTTACTTAGATTTGACCCACTCTTACCATTCGCACAGCCTTGTCAAGTTCACAGTCATTAAATATTATAAGCGGGGATTTGCCACCAAGCTCAAGGGAAACTTTCTTCAAGTTGCTCACAGCACAGCTAGAGGAAGATAAATGGGAAATGAGCATTAGTCTTTTTTATTTATTTATTTTTTTTGAGAGGTTTTCACTATAGGGTGTGTGTGCTTGCCAGACAGACAGAGAGAGATATAGAGACAGAAAGTGAGAAATCACCCCCCAGGGGGGATGGCCACGCCACAATCCCTTCTCCTCCATTCTCCTCTTGGGATCTTGGGCACGCACGCACACACGCCCTGTGTGTTTTAAGTCACCGGGTCCGGGACGCGAACTGTGGTCGACTACGTGGGAGTCCAGCGACATAGCCATTACGCTAACTGCTGGTTCCCATGAGCATTAGTCTTAATCTCACTCTGTCTTGTGCTTCTTTAACTATAATAAATTACTACTTTGCATGGAATACTTAATTGAGCCTCAGAAATATTAAGTAACTGATTCAGAGACAAAGCACAAATGTTGAATGGCGATTACTGCTGAAGCTGGGCAATAAGCACACAGGATTCATTATGCTTTTCTGTGCTTTGTCTACATTGGAAAGTTTCCATAATAAAAAGTGTATTTCTAAAAATTTCTGTGGTCAAATGATTGATTCTTTAGGAATTTTGATTACATAAAGGCCTGGCAAAGAATTCAACCACTAATCAGACAACTGGAGCATTAGGGGGGGAAATGTATCAATTTTTAGAAGTAGGTTGTTTATTTCTTCCTTCTTATAAAAGTATTGTTATTTAGAACCTTTTTTTTTTTTTTTAATTTTCAAAAAGGATGATGTGTTGGTTAAAGTGACTGGAACTCACATGACCAGTTGTGCCATTAGAGTCCCAGACCTCGGTTTGAGCGAGATGCCAGGTGTGTATGTATGTGTGCTCTAAATCCCAAAAGGAGAAACGGAGAAAGCATTGCAGCATGGCCATCCCCATTGGGATGCTTTCTTACTTTCCCTCTCTCTGTCTGTCTTAAGTGAGCACCAATGCCCTTTAACAAACCTAGAAATAACAAACACAACAACAACAAAATGCAGACAGGAAGGGGCCAACAGGTAGCATGGTGGGTAAGGTGCTGAACTCCCACATGGCTGACCACAGTTCAAGTCCTACAGGTATTTGGGTATGTGTGTATGTTTGTGTGTGCCCCAAATTCCAGGAGACTGGAGAAGAAGGGATTGCAGTGCGACCATCCTTCCTAGAGGCTGACTTCTCACTTTCTTCTGTCTCGCTCTCTCTCTCTTTGGCAAGCACATATTCCTTATGGCAAAAAACTAGAAAGAGAAAAGAAAATCACATCAGGTGTCTGTATGTATGTGTGCCCAAAATCCCAAGAGGAGAAGGGATTGTGCCGTGGCCATCCCTACTGTGGGGGGTGATTTTTCACTTTTCCTCTCACTGTCTCCAGCAAATGTACACACCCAATGGCAAAAAACCTTTAAAAAAATGCAGACAAGTAAAAAAAGTCACAAAATTCCATGGTTCAGTGGCCATTGTTTTTACCATTTTGATAAATTGGTTTAGGCTCTGTGTTGTACCATACCTTTTGCATTGTTTATTATCATTGTGATCATCTAACATGAGCGATTTCAAAAAGTTTGTGGAAAACTAGAATAAAAATACAAGTTTATTTTGTTGCAAACAAATTTGAAATCCACGCATAGTTTTTCATAATATGCATTTTCCATAAACTTTTGGAGATTCATCATTTATACAATTGTATACCTCATTTTTCTTCTATTTGCCATTTTAACAATATTTTCCGATGTTATTAAAAATTCTCCTCGAGGGACCTGCAGGTGGTGTAGTGGGTAAGGTGCTGGACTCCACATGATCTATTATGGTTTGAGTCCTGGATCTGACAGCTTAAAACTCATGCTGGCATGTGCACATGCATGCCCCAAATCCCAAGAGGAGAATGGAAGAAAAGGGAGTGCAGTGTGGCCATCCCTGCTGTGGGGTGATTTCTCGCTTTCTTTTTCTCTGTTTCTTTGGCAAGAGCACACGCCCTATAGCAAAAAATCTCTCTCAAAAAAAAGTTCTCTTTGAGGGATTAGCAGTTAGCGTAATGGCTATGTGCTGGACTCCCATGTAGTCGACTGCAGTTCACGTCCCGGACCCAGTGGCTTAAAACTCATGCCGGGCACATGTGCGTGCATGCCCACGATCCTGAGAGGAGAATGAAGGAGAAGGGATTGTGGCGTGGCCATCCCCCCTGGGGGGTGATTTCTCACTTTCTGTCTCTCTCTGTCTTTCTGGCGAGCGCACGCGCCCTATAGCAAAAATCTCTCCAAAAAAAAAATAAGTTTTCCTTGAATAAAACTGCACACCATACTATCATATTGACATAGTTTAACTAATCCCTTTTTTTGTAATTTAAATTGTATACGATTTTGTTTGTTTGTTCATTTGTTTTATCCATAGGGCATGTGCAACTCACTGGAGAAAAACAGTGAGAAGGAAAGTGAGAAATCACCCTATGATGGGATGGTCATGCTGCAATCCCTTCTCCATTCTTCTCTCAGGATTTTGGGCACAGTCACACATGTGCCTGCTATGATTTTCAAGCCACCAGGTCCAGGACTCAAACCATGGTCTGCCTTGTAGGAATCTAACACCTCAACCAACATGTCACCTGCTGGCCCAAATTGTTTGCATTAAAAAAAAAAATAGTATTACTGCTTTCTGGGAATCTGTTTTATAAACAATCCCATTTTATATATGTAATATACATGTGTAAATTTGTCATTTACATGTCTTCTCAGTTTCTCATGTATGCCCCAGAAAACAATTTTGGCCACACCTTTACAACAGAAAATGTTTTGTGCTGTATTTTAAAGTTACCAGTACAGTACGGAATTTCAATACACCTCTGGTTTTATTGACTATACGCCTTAATGCATTGGGAAGTATTTTGTTATTTCAAGTATAGGAGTGCTCAGTAGTGGTAAGTAGATTTCTCTTCTAAATTTGATATGGTTTTTCTCACTCCAAAAGCACTCTATTTGAACAAAAACAGAAACCTGGTTTAAACGGATCTGCAGCAAATTGTCATAGTAAAACCAATACCTCTTCATGATCTGTTTACCAATAGGGGTGGAACCAGTGAACCCAAGTTTGCGAATGTCAGGATGTTCAGAGAGGCGTTGTCCTGCTATGCCACCTATAGAATTAGGAGGGAAAAAAAGCACAAATTAAAACATGGCACAAGTTCTAATAGTGAGAGTGGCTTTGAAGTCCCCCAAGTAGAAGTGGGTAGTTTTACAGTATTGTCCAGTCCCTCTGCCCCCTCTGCTCCCCCCTCCCCCCCACCACTACATTTAAGATTTGTAGGACACTTAGTAAGTATATTTACCCTCAACTGTTTGGTCAACTGTACTTCGTTTTAATGCAATTATAATTCAGGACACGTTTCCAGAAAGTGAGCAGCCACTGGGGTACCCCTGCATTATTCACCATGAGAGCAAAGCAGGCATTCCTTGCTTACCTGAGCCTGGAATGATGTTGATTACCCCTTTAGGAAAGCCGGCTCTCACAGAGAGCTCTGCAAACTTCAAAGCAGTCAGGGGTGTGACCTGCACAGAAGCAGATAGCAGTGACCTCCCTCAGACTCTCTCCTGTCTTTCTAACCTGCACCCAGTTTTGTTCCCTTGATCACTATCCCAGGGCTCATTTTATTTTTATTTTACATTGTTTGATTATTTTTTATTTTGACATATTCCTGACTCATAGCAAAGTCACAAAACTAATAGAGACCTTATTTGGATTTTACCCAAGATTCCTCAAATGTTAATATTTTACTACATTAGCTTTACATCTTCTACATCTTTTTCCTCTATATTATTTTCTGTACTGTGTAAGGAGAAAATATAGACATATGTCTTTTCTTCTAAGTACTTCTGTGTGCATTTCTCAGAAACAAGCAGTTCTTTTATATGACCAAAACACAATAATTGAAATCAGGAAATTAACTGATTCTAAGTTGCAGACATTGTTCAGATTTTACCAATCGTCCCAACAATGTCTGTTACTGCAAAAGGAAAGTCTCATATCCTGCATTGCATTTAGTTGTACTTACAGTCTCAGTTCACCTGGGAGAGCGTCTGAGTCTTCTTTTCTGTTCCACTACTGAAATGCACAAGCTGTTTATTTTGCATAATGCCCCTTCAACTTGATTTTATCTAATGTTTCCTCATGCTTAGATTCAGGTTATGCATTTTTGGCAACAATACCACCAGAGTGGGGCTGAGTTCTAGGGCATCCCATCAGGGCACATGTTGTGGAAGAGTTTCAGTACTGTAGACACACACAATTCCCATGGGAAGGTTTATCAATTCTATCTACAACTACATGTATTTTTTAACTAAGTGATGCTGCTATTAGGAACATATCCTAGATATGTACCTGCACATGTGCATGGTGCTGTATTAATAATGTTATTAACTGCATCATAGTTTATAATAACAAAAGAACGAACAAATCTAAATATTCATAAATACCTATTAAGCAGGGATTAGTGAAATAAAATATGTTTTAATTATACAATGGAATATTTTTTTAAATTTTAAAGAATCATTTTTATATAACTTTATTTATTTTTAATTTGACCAGAGAGGAACAGAAAGAGATAAAGAGAGAGAGGGAGAGAGAGAGAGAGAAAGTGAGAAAGCAAGCTGCCAGGTCTGGGACTTGAACCACAGTCAGCTATGTGGGAATCCAGTGCCCCTAACCACCATGCCACCTGCCAGCCCCTATATGATGGAATATTATGAGATAGTATTTATCTATAGCTAGAATATTGTTAAATACATTGAAGCCTATTTAGAAATGGAATTTTCTTGGTAAGTTTATATAGTATGCTTTTTTTTTTTCTAGATTTTTTTTGCCATAAGGTGTGTGCACTCACCAGAGAGAGACTGAGACAGAGAGAGAGGGAAACTGAGGCATCACTCGCTAGGGGGAATGGCCATGCCACAATCCCTTCTATTTCAGTCTCCTCTGAGGATTTTGGGAGCACACACAAACACACGCCTGGCATGTTTTTCAAACCACTGGGTCTGGGACTCGAATCTCAGAGTTGGCGATGTGGGATCCAGCGCCTTAACCATCACACCACCTTCTGGCCCTGTTAAATTTTTTTAATTAGTAAGACAAGATGGCTTTGGCCACATGACCCTGTAGCTATGTGAAATAAAATTGTGATTTTTTTAAACAAATTATAAACTCTCTCAGAATAGAGAACGAGTTTCTCCATGACTTAAGTGTTTTCTTATTATCACATGAATATACTTTTCTCAGTTGCCACAATTATGTCAGGTTTTTTGCATGCTTTTCCCTCTTCCTGCATCTCTTATTTTTGATAGGTAAGTTTGAATGCCTACAAAGTACTTGTGATGTCTCATAATTACCTTTAACTCCCCCCACCACTTGTTGGGTACTTGGTATTTTGCAAGAATTGAACTGGTTTGTAGAAAGTCAGTGAATTTCACTGTTGCGCATTAGGCTTGCTTCCATTGTCATGGAAGTTAAAAATTATGGAATCTCCATACAATGCACTAGGTACCTATTAAACATAAATATTTACTAATATGAAAAGTCACACTATATGAAAAGATGACATAATATACAATACCTTCCTCCACCTTTTTAAGGTTTTTTCCATTGGGCGTGTGCACTTGCCAGAAAGACAGAGACAGACAGTGAGAGGAAAGTAAGAAATCACCTTCTAGGGAGGATGGCCATGCCACAATCCTTCTCTTCTATTCTCCTCCTGGGATTTTAGGCATGCATGCACGCACCCGGCATAATTTTCAAACCTCCAGGTCCAGGACTCAAACCATGGTCAGCCATGTGGGAGTCCAGTGCCTTAACCACTATACCACTTACTGGCTCCCCCGATACCTTTTTTGTTTAAAACACACTATTTCAAATGTATGTCTCTGCTCTGAAGTAGGTTAACGGTCCAGGTCCCTGCAACTGGCCCCTTGGCTCTTACCTGTGCTGGCTTGAGCACTAAGGTATTGCCTGCTGCCAGACATGCAGCACTCTTCCACGCCAGCATCATCAGAGGGTAATTCCAGGGAATGATAATGGCACAGACTCTGAAGGGGAAGAAAGGCAACACCCTTAGTTGATTTCAATTAACACAGCCGTGAGTCACTCAGAGGGGCTCTCTCTCTTACCCAAGTGGCTCCTTCTTGGTAAAGGTCAGATTGCGATTTGGACGTGCCTGGTTGATTGGAATTGTAGAACCCTAAAGTATAAAAAAGGATGGTATTTATTTTACTTGCTTAAGTAATAAATTTAATCTTCCTTCATTCAGTTTTTGCTGTAGGGTGCATGTGCTTACCAGAGAGAGACACAGAGAGAGAGAGAAAACAGGAAAGTGAGAAATCACTCTCCAGAGAGATGGCCACACTGCAACCCTTTCTCCATTCTCCTCTCAAGATTTTTTTTGCTTTATTTGGGAGAGGATTTTGCTATAGGGTGCGTGCGCTCGCCAGACAGAGAAAGACAGAGAGATAGAAAGCGAGAAATCACCCCCCAGAGGGGATGGCCACGCTGCAATCCCTTCTCCATTCTCCTCTTGGGATCTTGGGTACGCACGCACATGCGCCTGGCGTGAGCTTAAGCCACCAGGTCCAGGACTCGAACCACGGTTGACTACATGGGAGTCCAGCGACATAGCCATTACGCTAACCGCTGGTCCCTCCTCTCAAGATTTTGAACATGTACACATGCGTGTCCAGCATGTTTCTCTTTCTCTTTTTTTTAGAATTACTTATTTCATTTTATTTGTTATTATTATTTTTAAGTTTGCCATTGGGCACGTGCACTTACCAGAGACAGAGAGAAAGTGAGAAAGCAAGCCGCCAGGTCCAGGACTTGAAGCACAGTCGGCCATATGGGAGTCCAGCATCCTAACTACCACACCACCGGCTGGCCCCAGCCCAGCCTGTTTTTCAAGTAGCCAGGTCCAGGACTTGAACCACTTGGTTGGCTATGTGGGATCCAGTTAACCTTAACCACCACACCACTGGCTGGCCCAGGAATGCTCTTTAAAAGCCACTTTGTTCTTCTCCTCTATCTGCACAATCAGTGGCTGTGGTAACTATCATAAACCAAAGAGCGGCTTGTATTCTGCAATTGACTACAGGCCCCTCTTTTCCTTTTCCTAACCCCAATGCCAAGGCCAAGTATAGCTGCTGTGTATCATCACCCATCTGTGCTATTATACTATCTTACAGTAAAACAAAAGTGAAGTATTTATTGTACCATGTCTGTCCAATTTTCCCTATATTTCTGTTTTGACCTCCTCTATCAGCTCCCTGGCTGGTGGGGGCATTTGAATGTGCGACCCCTACATGATACCAGGCTTCTCCTTGTATGTCTAAAATACCATCAGATACTCTCAGGAGACACTACTGCAAAGTGCAAAGGATAACAGTGGACTTCAGAACCTCTCGAGTTCAAATCTGGTTCCATGGTTCAGTTACTATGGATGACAGGAAAGGCATTCATTTCCTCAAACCTCCACTTTCTTACCTATCATAAGGGGATAATAGCTACTCATTTATCTCACATGGTTGTTCTAATTATTGCTTTGGTTTTAATGTTTCCTCCAAAATTCATGTGTTAGAAACTTAATCTTCAATGCAGGAGTTTGGGGAGGTGAAGTTTAATGGGAGGTTTTTAGGTCATGAGGACATGGTTTAAGGCAGCTATAATTACAGCCGTGGGGGCTGACCCTATAGCCTAGTGGTTGAGGCAGCCAAATCCCACACAGCTAACCAGTTTGAATCTCAGTCGTCAAGGATTAAAAAACATACTGAGTACACATGCTTGCATGCCTCAAATCCTGCCAGGTTGGAGAAGGGCTTGCTGCGGGACCACAGCCCATTGTGAGGTGCTTTTCTCTCTCCCTTTTTGTCTTTCTGTCTCTCTCTTGTAAGTGCACTTGCCCTCTGGCAATTAACAAAAAACCAACAGCTCACTAGACTGGGTTTTCTCTCTTATGTTGTTATGCCATGTAAGGACACGACATTCCTCCTCTCCAGAGAAGTCAGCAACACAGTGCCATCTTGAAACCAGAAGCCAAATTTGCCAGAGCATTGATCTTGGAGGTCCCAGACTCCAGAACAATGAAAGAATAAATTTCTTCATAAATTACCCAGTCCTGGGTATTCTGTTATAGCAGCATAAAATAGACTAAGAAACCATATCGTGTAGGTCAAAAAACCTCCATGAAAGGTGTACAGTGCCTGGTACAAACTAAAAAATGTTAGTCCCTTTTCCTTTTGCAACAAATAACATTTGTGCTTACCTGAATTTTGTCACACCAGCCAGCAAAATATCTGAATGTTTGCACAGACATTCCAATGTGAGTCTTCAGAGCCAAAGTATAGACAGCCCCTGAATCAAGGGCTTCAATGGTTGCCAGCTCCTCTTGGTTCTCTTCCAGTAGGTCTGCAAGTCTGTATGGTCAGTGAAAGAAATTCATTCAGCAACTATTTACTGAGGTCCTAATGAGTATAAGGTACCATCTAAGGGCTGAGAATTCAGAGGTGAACTCAAATAGACCAAGTCTCTATCCTTGTAGAGATTATGGTCCATAAGGAAGAGAAACACTCAATAGATAATCTGTTTTGAGCATTACAAAGGAGAAGCAGAGAGTGCTGGAAGCATGTGTAACTTGCCTGTATAAGAAGTAGGACAGTGTAAGAAAAATCCAAGGAGACTGAGGACAGAAAGCAGTGGAAACGAAGACAGTTGATAAATATTCAGTGAGATGTTGAAGTGCAACTCACATCGTCTGAAAACACTTGAACACTAGAGGGTTTCTGGTTGGTATAGAATATTTCCAATAACCAATCAAACAGAGCAAGAGGGACACATATGGAATGAATTGCTACTATCACAAAGATTTCTGTTTGGTGTTTCTTTTCTTTCTTTCTTCCCTTCCTTCCTTTCTTCCTTTCTGTCTTCTTTCTTTCTTTCTTTCTTTCTTTCTTTCTTTCTTTCTTTCTTTCTTTCTTTCTTTCTTTCTTTCTTTCTTTCTTTCTTTCTTTCTTTCTTTCTTTCTTTCTTTCTTTCTTTCTTTCTTTCTTTCTTTCTTTCTTTCTTTCTTTCTTTCTTTCTTTCTTTCTTTCTTTCTTTCTTTCTTTCTTTCTTTCTTTCTTTCTTTCTTTCTTTCTTTCTTTCTTTCTTTCTTTCTTTCTTTCTTTCTTTCTTTCTTTCTTTCTTTCTTTCTTTCTTTCTTTCTTTCTTTCTTTCTTTCTTTCTTTCTTTCTTTCTTTCTTTCTTTCTTTCTTTCTTTCTTTCTTTCTTTCTTTCTTTCTTTCTTTCTTTCTTTCTTTCTTTCTTTCTTTCTTTCTTTCTTTCTTTCTTTCTTTCTTTCTTTCTTTCTTTCTTTCTTTCTTTCTTTCTTTCTTTCTTTCTTTCTTTCTTTCTTTCTTTCTTTCTTTCTTTCTTTCTTTCTTTCTTTCTTTCTTTCTTTCTTTCTTTCTTTCTTTCTTTCTTTCTTTCTTTCTTTCTTTCTTTCTTTCTTTCTTTCTTTCTTTCTTTCTTTCTTTCTTTCTTTCTTTCTTTCTTTCTTTCTTTCTTTCTTTCTTTCTTTCTTTCTTTCTTTCTTTCTTTCTTTCTTTCTTTCTTTCTTTCTTTCTTTCTTTCTTTCTTTCTTTCTTTCTTTCTTTCTTTCTTTCTTTCTTTCTTTCTTTCTTTCTTTCTTTCTTTCTTTCTTTCTTTCTTTCTTTCTTTCTTTCTTTCTTTCTTTCTTTCTTTCTTTCTTTCTTTCTTTCTTTCTTTCTTTCTTTCTTTCTTTCTTTCTTTCTTTCTTTCTTTCTTTCTTTCTTTCTTTCTTTCTTTCTTTCTTTCTTTCTTTCTTTCTTTCTTTCTTTCTTTCTTTCTTTCTTTCTTTCTTTCTTTCTTTCTTTCTTTCTTTCTTTCTTTCTTTCTTTCTTTCTTTCTTTCTTTCTTTCTTTCTTTCTTTCTTTCTTTCTTTCTTTCTTTCTTTCTTTCTTTCTTTCTTTCTTTCTTTCTTTCTTTCTTTCTTTCTTTCTTTCTTTCTTTCTTTCTTTCTTTCTTTCTTTCTTTCTTTCTTTCTTTCTTTCTTTCTTTCTTTCTTTCTTTCTTTCTTTCTTTCTTTCTTTCTTTCTTTCTTTCTTTCTTTCTTTCTTTCTTTCTTTCTTTCTTTCTTTCTTTCTTTCTTTCTTTCTTTCTTTCTTTCTTTCTTTCTTTCTTTCTTTCTTTCTTTCTTTCTTTCTTTCTTTCTTTCTTTCTTTCTTTCTTTCTTTCTTTCTTTCTTTCTTTCTTTCTTTCTTTCTTTCTTTCTTTCTTTCTTTCTTTCTTTCTTTCTTTCTTTCTTTCTTTCTTTCTTTCTTTCTTTCTTTCTTTCTTTCTTTCTTTCTTTCTTTCTTTCTTTCTTTCTTTCTTTCTTTCTTTCTTTCTTTCTTTCTTTCTTTCTTTCTTTCTTTCTTTCTTTCTTTCTTTCTTTCTTTCTTTCTTTCTTTCTTTCTTTCTTTCTTTCTTTCTTTCTTTCTTTCTTTCTTTCTTTCTTTAAGAGATTTTACCTTAGGGGACATGCACTAGCCAGAGAGAGACAGAGACAGACAATGAGAGGGCAAATGAGAAAGCACCCCCCTGGGGAATGGTCATGCCAAGTTCCTTCTCCTCTACTCTCCTCCTGGGATCTTGGGCACACACACACAAGTGCCCAGTGTGACTTTCAAGCCACTGGGTCCAGGACTTAAACCACAGTTGACCATTTGGGAGTCTAGCGACATAACCACTCTGCCATCTGCTGGCCGCTTGGTGTTTAATTTCTAAGGGCAGACTATGTAATGACAATGAAATGGTCAAGATTCTCCTTTTGTGTTCACCTCTCCATTTGTTTTCCTTCTTTCCTTTAGCAGTTATCTGAGCTGTTCCCTTTAGGCCACTCTACAGTCAGGCTTGAAATTCCCTTTCTCCAGTGTTTTTTCCAGATCTTTCTCTTAAAGATGGTTCGGCCAAGCTTAGATATTTGGCTTTAGGTAAACAGAAAGTAGAATTTGTGATTGAATCTAAAGACTCCTAGCATTCTTCATTACCTTCAGAACACTCTTTCCAGGCTTTAATGTATTTTCTCCTTGCTAGTATTCCTTTCAGATCAAGTAGACTTAAAAGTTTGTTTTCTAAAACAAGAAGGTGTTGGATATTCTCCATTCACTGCTCTATTTCCATTCTCCACCCTCTCTGTGACCCTGGAGGATGGCCTTAATAGAGTACATCAGCTGGCTCCCTTGTTCACTCACTGGGAGGCGCCTTCAGGACTGGGGAGCTGGGGAGGGAGGTTTACAGAGAAGTCCTCTGGGATTCAATTCCCTGGCTCCCTCACTGAAGCTCTGGTTTGGCAGCTTTGTGCCTTTCCACCAAAGACCACTGTGGTGTCTTCTGCAGCTACAGATCTTGCCAGATTCTGGTAAGAGCCCTTCCTTCATCCCATCGGATCTGGGAGGAGTAACAGCTTCCCCTAGCTGCTATCCTTGCCTGGAATGCTTTATTACCTTTGTTAGAGTCTCTTGACCTTGCTCACATCTCTGCACATAGTCTTTTATTAAATTTCATTTCCAACTGGGAGCCTGACTGATAAGAGCAGTAATACAAAAATCAGAAACTCACACCTATAGCACTTTATATGATTCAAGTAACAGGAGAGCTGTTGTGTTATATGGTGGGTGCGTACTAGAATGCCTTGTAGGAGTTAACAATGCTGACAGTGTTAGCGGATACTCAAAGGTAGATCGGCCTTTCTAAAAAATGAAAAAATACCTGTACATCAGCCTTCCTCTTTCTCGTGCATTCATTCTTCCCCATTCTCCGTTTTCAAAAGCATCTTTTGCTGCAGCTACTGCTTTATCAACATCCACCAGAGAAGCATAGGATACTTTGCATATTGTCTATTCCAAAGTAAGTGAAAATAGGTTTCATAAGAGATATATAAATATGGCCCTTAGAATTACACTAATAGGAAAAACAGAATAATATTTAGAGAATCCAAAGAATTTTATGATGGAAAATTAATATGCCCAGTAATAAGGTAAAGAAAAAGATGATTTAACATGAAGCACTGGGAACCTGAAATTCAGTACTTCTCGTGTCTACATTATAGAAGGATACATTTAGGAACATGATGTAATTCCTTCAGCACTTTAGGCACACTGAATTTCTGAACATGAATTTTAAAGTCTGAATTTTTTTCCCACATATAGTTCTATGTGGAAGGGTATTTCTGGTGTGTATTGGTATGGCTATGTGTCTACATATTCAGTCTATAAGACAGATTACTACAGCTAACAGTGGGCAGTATCAGAAATGAACAGTTTAAAGCAATACATGAAGTATGTGTATATGAAGTGCTCAGAGGTGAGTGATAGAAGAAAGTAGCTTGTTAAGACTGCCTGTCTTTTTTTTTTTTTTTTAAAGAGAGAGTTTTTTGGAAGAAAGTAGCTTGTTAAGACTGCCTGTCTTTTTTTTTTTTTTTAAGAGAGAGATTTTTGCTATAGGGTGTGTACACTTACCAAAGAGACAGAGAGACAGAAAGCAAGGAATCACCCACCCCCCCAGGGGGGGATGGCCATGTCACAGTCCCTTCTCCTCCATTCTCCTCTCAGGATCTTGGACACGCATGCCCATGTGCCCAGGGTGGGTTTTAAGCCACCAGATCTGGAATTCAAATAGTGGTTGACTATATAGGAATCTAGCAACATAACCATTAGGCCTTCTGCTGGGCCCAAGACTGCCTGTCTTATGGCCATGTGTCACCTAAAAATCTATGGCCAGTGGTCATTACACCTACTAAATAATTACTCACAGATCCATCAGTTGGGTTGACAGTGTCATAGGTCTTCCCATCATCCGCATCTATGAACTGCCCATTTATGAAGCACTGATATGGCATTTTTACTGTCATTTCATTGACCTCCTTTGACACCTAAGAGAGAGAATGATATTAATGAAGAGCATTAAATTCATTAATATATTTAAATATAGCATTATTATATTTATTAATACAATAAATTATATTAATAGAGAATTATATTAATAGAGTCCATGGATTTCTGTGCTTATTGATTTGATACCAAGTAGCAATAAAGAAACTTATTCATTAACGCAAAGGGAAAAGTTATCCATGGAATTCTAGTTCTCATTGCTAAAAAAAAACAAGCATATGTAAGATCTGGGCCTCTAGATGCTTGGCTTGGCCACAGAGGCAGGAGCTTAGCATTTGTGATGACAGACGAGCTCTTGACTGGGCTTTACGGAGTCAGATGAAAGGGAACCTAAAGGCCTCCAGGTAATGGAGACACTGCCATCCAGTGGCTAGATCACTGATGCACAGCCACTGCTTTCCCTTAAATCCTTGAAAATGCCTTTATCAGAAAACGTCTTTTCTTTGCTGGGTGCTATTTTAACTTTTCTTTCCTTAATTTCCTCCCAGTTTTCACTTTCTCTCTTTGTATATGTGTTGTATAAATTACACTTTTTACCATTGGCTAGCAAAAGAATTTAGGTTGGTCAATAAATTCTGAGCCTCAGGTTTTTCAACAGCAAAATGGAGGACGTGAGGTCAGATGGTAACGCGGTGGTAACACAACTGGACACACATGGGAAGGCCTCGGGTTCACTTCTCAGGGCCTCTCTGTTCACACTGAGCACACACAGATCTGCGATCCAGGCTGCCTGAGGCTGGGGCAGATCACAGTGTGAAGATCCTGTGTGAAGTGAATGCCTATTTCTCTCTCTCTCTCTCTCACTCTCTCTCTCATGGAAGACATAAATAAGTAAACTTCTAAAACACAAAGATATTGGGTCCAGCAGGTAGCATGGTGGTTAAGGGGCTGGACTCCCACATGGCTGACTGCGGTTCGAGTCCCAGACCTAGCGGCTTGCTTTCTCACTTTCCCTTTCTCTCTCTCTAGTCAAAAATAATAAAAATAACAAATAGAACTAACTAAATAAATAATTCTTTAAAACAACAACAATAATAAATGCACGCAAAAGAGGGATATTGATACCTGACTCATAGTTATTGTGAGGAATAAGCAAGATAATATATGTAAATATTGCACATTATTGGCATAAAATCCCACATCAATGAAAGGTGTTACGAAGGAAATTTTAAAAAATTTCGTCAGAGGGCATGTGTACTCACCAGAGAGAAACAGAGACAGAGAGAAAAAGTGAGCAAACACCCCCACCACCGTGGGAATGGTCACACTGCAATCCCTTCTCCTTCACCTCTCCCTCTCTTCAGGATTTTGGGCACACACAAGCACACGTGCGCATGTGTGTGCACATTTGGTGTGTGTCTCATCCACCAGGTGCTGAATTCAAACCACATGGTCTGCCATGTGATGTGGAATCTCACCGCCTTTACTACCACATGACTGGCTGGCCCCAGAAATTTAATGATTTTTAAAAAATAATTTCGTGTAAGAATTGACAATGCTTTAAAAACAAACAAAAAACCCTAGAAGTTGTATTGCCTTTCTCCAAACCAAGCACTTATGTTTTATGAGATATTTGAGGGAAACATTGAGTGAACTGTATTCAGTACTTGCAAATAGTCTACTTTTCTAAAATCATTATTCTGGGACTATGCTGAGTATCTTACGTGTAGCACCTAATTTTATTCTCCCCATGATTCTATGAGCTGGATAATATTATGGTCCCATTTAACAAACGAGGAAATTGAGACTTTGAGAGGTTAAGCAACTTGCCCAAGTTTACACAGCTAGTAAGCTACACTACTTGGATTCAAACCTAGGTGAATCTGACTCAGAAATTCCTGTTTTAGCCAGACGATGCTAAGTTGTTTTCCAGATCGACCAACTTTGATTTAAAATGAGTGGATGAGAGCACTTCTGGAATAGTGGAGCACTTCTGAAAATCCTCTCCCACATAAAAATATTGAAAATATTGGAAATATTGTCAAAATAATTTCTCTCAGAATTCTGGAAGTTAACCAAAGGCTTGGAAGAAACTATTTCAAGAAAATCAGTGAATCTCAGAACAATGAGCTTTGTGATACATTAACTGACGTATTGCCATGTTTCAGTAGTTCTGCAGTAACTTTGAATACCAGGATCTTCGCAGCAATGGTGGCTGTGAAGACTGTAATAGCAGCCGAGTAGCCAGCAGAGGGAGCAAAATGGATCTGGAGTTCAAAAGCCTCATCCCCAGAGAACCGTCACTATTTGGCTCTGGCAGCTCCGGGAAAAGCTCCATTTTGGGGGTTTGTCTTTATTTGGTCTGACTCAGAGCTTGCTCTGAAGCCCTACCTATAGGACGTTTGTCAAAAGTAATCAGTGATGGGAACCAGTAGTTAGCATAATGGCTATGTCACTGGATTCCCACGTGGTCGGCCGTGGTTCACATCCCGGACCCGGTGGCTTAGAACTCACGCCAGGCACATGTGCGTGCATGCCCAAGATCCTAAAAGGAGAATGGAGGAGAAGGGATTGCGGCGTGACCATCCCCCCTGGGGGGGGTGATTTCTCACTTTCTGTCTCTATGTCTCTCTCTGTCTGTCTGGCGAGCGCACGTGCCCTATAGCAAAAATCCTCTCAAAAAAAAAAAAAAAAAAAAAAGTGACAATCATTTGCTATTGCAGCTGCCAGAGGTGGTAATCCCAATTAGGGCTAACAAGTAGCTGACTGACAACTTAAAAGGAGAAACTGGAGAATGAAATATGCATAGGAGGCTTTGAAAAGTCCTGATATATTCCTGAAAATCTAGAAGACCAAAGTACATAAAAGGGCTTGTGCACGTGTCAAGGAAAAACCCGAAAGACCCTAATCTCTTTTTGCGGACTGACCTAGAGGCTCTGTGCAAGCAGGAGTGTAAGGCAGAGGCAGAGCAGTAAACTGCCTGCTGGAGCACTGAAGGTGTATCCCAGCATGCACACAGAGCCCCTCAGCAAAGACAGGGAGACATACTGGCTCAAGGCACTTAAGGACATCTATGTGCAGTCATGAGCAGATCATTAAGCTAACCCAAAAGAGAATTCAGTGGTGCAAGCAATAAAGAATACAGATTTCACAGAATTAGTCAAAGAAAGACACTGAGCAAACAAAAAGCAGCAATGATAACAATGATAGCAACAATGACAAGCCCTGTGGAGGCAGGGTAGGGGTCTGATTTCCAGAGTTGCTGTAAAACCTGTTGTGTATCAAAGGATGCTATCAAGAAAGTGAAAAGAAAACCTCAGAATAATGGAAAATATTTGCAAATAATATATCCGATCTGCATTCAAAATGTACAAAGGATTCTTAAAGTCAACAATAAAAAGACAACCTGGTTTAAAAATAGGCAAAGGATTTGAATAGAAAATTTTCCAGAAAAGACCTACAAATGACCAGTAAACACACGGAAAGATGCTCAACATCATTAGTCACTTCGCACCTACTAGGATGGCTAAAAGAAAAGACAGACAATAGCAAGTGTTGACAAAGATATGGAGAAGTTGGAACACTCATGCATTGCTGGAGGAATTATGAAATGGTGTGGCCACTTTGGAAAACAGTCTGGCACTTTCTCAGAAAGCTAAACATAGAAAGCTGGCCCTGTAGTGCAGTAGTTAAGTGCCATACATAGAAAGCCAGATCCCACATGGCCAACTGTGGTTCAAAGTCCAGACTTGGAGGCTTAAAAACATGCTAGATGTGTGCATAAGCATACCTAAAATCCTGATGTTACAGAAAAATGGAGGAAAAAGACTGCGGTGTAACCGCACCCCATTGGAGGGAGATCTTTCTCTCTCTCTCTCTCTCCAATGAGTGCATGTGCCTTCTGCCAAAGGGGAAAAAAGGATTTAAAAAATAGTTAAATGTAGAATTACCTCATGACCCATCAGTTCTGCTCCTAGATACATACCCAAAAGAACTGAAAACAAGGACCAGCGGATGGTATAATGGTTACGTCATGGGACTCCCACATAGTCCAGGCAGCTTAAAAGTCACGCCAGGTACATGGGCATGCATGAACAAAATCCCGAGAGGAGAGTGGACAAGAAGGGTTGCAGCATGACCATCCCCCTGGCGGGTGATTTCTCACTTTCTGTCTTTCTGTCTCTCTCTGACTCTCCAGCGAATGCACGCACCCTACAGTAAAAATCTCTCAAAAAAATTTTTAAAGAAAGAACTGACAATATTTTCACACAAAAAGTTATACGTATATTTTATAGCAACGTTATTTATAATAGCCACAAAATAGAAGCAACTCAAATATGCATCAACTGAAACAACTCAAATATACATCAACTACAATGGGATATTTGGCCAGAAAGATAAATGAAGTGATAATATATACTACAACCTAGATGAACCTTGAATAATTGTGCTAAATGAAAGAAGCCAGACACAAAAAGCCTCAATTGTATAGTTCCACTTATATGAAATATCTAGAACAGGTGAATCTATAGAGGCAGAACTAATGGTTGCAGGGGCTAGGGGTAGGAGGCAGAGGAGGAGTAGAGGATGACTTACAGTGGGTATAAGGTTTCTTTTTGGGATAATGAAAATGTTCTCAAATTAGATAGTAATGATGGTTCACAACCTTGTGAATATACTAAAATCTCTGAAATGTACATTTTTAAAAGGGTGCATTTCATGGCATCTGAATTATATTTCCATAAAGCTGTTCTTAAAAAAAAAAAAAAAAAAAAAGGTTATAGGGCCAGCTCCATGACACAGTGGTAACACACTGCTCAAGAGGAGCCAGATCCCACATGGCAACCACAGTTCAGATCTCTAGCCAGGCACAAGTGTGGGTGCCCAGGATCTAATGGGCTGACCCTGTGGAGAAGGATGCTTCTCTCTCACTAGTTGTCATGTGTGCATATACATATCCTATCATGAATTTAAAAACTAAAAGTTAAAGTTACAGATCGTGCCAGCAGATGGTATGGTGGCTAAGGCACTGTATTCCCACGTGGCCAAGGGCGATTCAAATCCAGGACCTGGTGGCTTGCTTTCTCACTTACTTTCTCTCTCTCTCTCTCTCTGGTTAGTGTGAGCGCCCTGTAGCAAATTTAAAAATAATAATAATGGGACTGGCAGGTGGTGGTGGTTAAGGCACTGGACCCCCCACATGGCCAACAGCAGTTTGAGTCCTAGACCTAGCAGCTAGCTTTCTCACTCACTTTCTCTTTCTCTGGTCAAACTAAAGATTAATAATAATAATAATAAAATTAATAATTATTTAAATAATAATAATCAGGTCAGCAAATGGTGTAGTGGTGACATCACTGGACTCCCATATGGCCGACTGTGGTTTGAGTCTCAGATCCAGTGACTTAGAAATCACGTGGAGTGCATGTGTGTGCAGGTCCAAGATACCAGAAGAATGGAGAAGGGATTGTAATGTGGCTATCCCCCCTGGGGGTGATTTCTCTGTCTCTCCAGTGAGCACACCTGTCCTAAGGGGGGTGGGGGGCTAAAATTTTTAAAAAGATAAAATTAAATAAATGATTGTGTTTAAAAATGTTATAAATGTAAAATCAATAGACGAAAAGCTCAGAACCCTTTTGTAGTTTATGAATCTTAATGATTTAGAGGTGAAACATCAAGAGAAGCTTACGTAATCCACCACCAACTCTGCTTCTTGATCTTCTCCTCTCAGTTTCCTCACAACCTTTTGGATGAAGTCGTCAAACTTGGTGGCCATGTAGACATCTTCATTCTGTAACTGAAGCCCACCACATTTCTGTCTGATCTCTTCAACCAGCCTTAAAGGAAGAACCAGCTCATGTTACTTACATTTTTTAAATTGTCTAAGGTGATTGCATTATTAGTGTTTGTCAAATTGTTTTGAAGTAAGTCTTGTCACGTGCTATTTATATCCTTTGGTATCTTCCATGATAGCAATCAGAGAAATTGATAAGATGGCGGTCAAGAAAGTTAAAAATCTGTTCTGAAGGACAGTGACAATTTTGTTTTAACTTTGTCCATGACTAGAAATAAACCATTTTAATTACTTATTAGCAAGATGGTAACAAGCACATAGTCACTTGCTTTTCTCAAATCAGCTGAAAGGATGGGGCCAGCAGGTGGCATGGTGGTTGAGGTGCTGGGCACTCCCATGTGGCCGACCATGGTTCAAGTCCTAGACCTGGTGGCTTGCTTTCGCACTTTGCTTCACTCGTTCTCTATCTCTCTCTGTCTCTCTCTGGTCAAATTAAAATAAATAAATGAATGAATAAAATAAAATAAATAGTTCTTTTAAAAAATCAACTGAAGAAATAAGAAATAAAGGCAATTTCCTAATTGTAAAGGTTATAAAAATGTATATATTATAGAATATTTTCTCTATTTGATGCATAACAACAAAACAGACATTTGTTTGTATTACATGGTTAATGTAGGTACTAGCTACATTAACCACGTAGAAGAACCATGTAGAAGGTCAATTTTAATTGTTGAAGTCCTTTTATTTTCACTATTAAATTGTCAAATTATAACTATTAGTTGACATTTCTTAGATGGCAATGGTGTACTACATTCCGTGTAGAGAACTCATCGTGGTTGTTAATCAATCATTTATTCTCTAAAAGAAAGGAGGCTTCTTGATTATCAAGATAATAATATCAGATGATTATGTCAAGTCAGACATGAACAAGAGGTGAATAATTCCTGCAGGAGTATTTTGCTAGCAAAAAATAGTATTACAAATATAGTATTGAAATCTTTAGTTAAGCTAATTAGAAGTTTCTGGGAACTCATGAATTATATCTGAGAGATCTATAATTTGAGAAAATAAAACTCCTTCCTTTTGATAATATTACCTGCTCTTGAAATGATTGTTTTTATTACTGGAACAAAAGCTCCGAGAATAGAGGGACTTAGTCTAGTTCACAGCTGTATTCCCAGTGCCAAATCCATTCTTGCTATGTAGCAACTGTTCAATAGAATTTGTTAACTAAATGAATGAGTGTTTAGCTAAACTATTATTCATCAGGAACATGGCTTTGCCCATATCTAGGATTATGTCAAGAGGAGAAACATTCTTTTCCATGTTTAATTGGTGAACAGACAGTGTGTGGCCTGGGATCAAGTCCCCTTAAGTGTCTATACTTTGCACCCACCCTCAGGGAACTGCACAGCCTCTGGCTGTTCCCAGCTGTCTCGCTACCTCAGTTACACACAGAATAACAAAACACCTCCTCAAGGCTTGCACCACTAGGATGCTGGCATACCTTTCCTGACATAAAGGGAGATTTCCAGGACTCCACTCTTTTCAGTTTTCTGTAAGCCTCTGTAGAAAATTCTGACTATAGGGTGATGAGTCTTACTCTTGTAAGTAGCCTGATAGCCCTCATTCTAGATCTATCTTACTGAGTAATGTAGGAGACAGGAGGAAAAGTATTTGAGAAGAGCATAGTCAGTGCCAGGTATCTTTCCTGATCAAACTTCATAGGAAATTGGCTCTTTGCATTCTCGCCCAGAGCTTCTCAATTCCCATGACTTATTGGAGGAAAGTAAGCTAAGCAATGTCAAGACAACGATAAGAAGCAAACAATGAGAAGGATTGGTTTTCTAGATATACAGGAGAATGAAAATAACTTCTGGTTAGCAACAATGAGAAGTACACAGTTAGATACATGTGTTTGACCATGAAAATACCAGTACCAAAACCAGGTGACGAAAAGAGATGTGTAGTTGACAGGTATGATGGAGTGATGACAGCCACAGCAAAGGACTTATATTTGAATAGCAAAGTCAAAGTCAAAATCCCTAGTGCAGAGGAAAGTCAATATGGAGATGGCTTTACCTGGCAACATCCATTGAGCTTGCTCCAGATTTAAAAAAATCTGTTGAGTCTTCAATAATAGGAACATTGCTTAAAATTCCAGCCCAGATCATCTACACGAAAGGAAACTTATATGAGGGAAGTTATCACATAGCTCAGTGTGGCAGAGACTGGCTGGATCTTCTCCAATTCTACGTCCTCTTTGTCTTATATATTACTTGACTACATATCTTGGCATTTCTTCAAGTTAGATATAGCCTTAATAAATATGAATGTAAGTGAGCTGTACCACACTGGTCCTGGCCCTGGCCCTGGCCCATGAATAATGTCCACTCTGAAACTCTCTGTGCTCTTTTTTTTTTTTTTTTTTTTTGAAGAGGTTTTTGCTATAGGGCGCGTGTGCTCTCCAGACAGACAGAGAGAGACAGAGAGACAGAAAGTGAGAAATCACCCCCTGCGGGGATGGCCACACTGCAATCCCTTCTTCTCCATTCTCCTCTTGGGATCTTGGGCACGCACGCACACGCGCCTGGTGTGAGTTTTAAGCCACTGGGTCCGAGACGCGAACCGCAGTCAACTACATGGGAGTCCAGTGACATAGCCATTACGCTAACTGCTGGTCCCTCTCTGTGCTCATTTGCCCTTCTGGCTGTCCAATGGAGATGGCCTCTAAAGTGACCTTGAAGATAACAGAACTTGGGTTCCTTGATGACCCCACCCCTTGACCCACATGTCAACCCAGAACTGTTTTAGATTATTTATCTGAAAAAAGGGTATATGTGTGTAGGGACTTCAAAATGTTGAGGAAAAGGGCCAGCAGGTGGCAAAGTAGTTAAGGTGCTTGATCTCACATGGTCAACTCTATGGTTTGAATCCCAGACCCAGTGGCTACAAAAGCATGCTAGGTGTGTGTGCATGTGTGTCCAGGATCCTAAGAGGAAAATGGAGGAGGATTTGAGGGATGGCCACCTTTACACACAGGGGGATGATTTCTCACTCTCCCCTCTCTCTCTCTCTGTCTCGGACATGTGCATAAGCCCTATGGTAAAACCTATTTTTAAAAAAAGTTGATGGGGGTTGGGGCTGGCAGGTGGCATGGTGGTTAAGGGTGCTGGACTCCCACATGGGTGACCACAGTTTGAGTCCTGGACCTAGTGGCATGCTTTCTCACTTACTTTCTTCCTCTCTCTCTCTCTCTCTGGTAAAATCAAAATAAATAAGCAAATAAAATAAAGTTTTTATAAAAATGTTGATGGGACCAGCAGTTGGCATAATGGCTATGTTGCTGGACTCTCACATAGTCAATTGCGGTTCGAGTCCTGGACTCAGTGGCTTAAACTCACACTGGGCATCTGTGCATGCATGCCCAAGATCCCAAGAGGAAAATGGAGAAGAAGGGAGTTGCGGCATGGCCATCACCCTGGGGGCTGATTTCTCACTTTGGGTCTCTTTGTCTCTCTTTTTCTGGCTAGTGCATGCTCCCTATAGCAAAAACTTCTCCAAAAAATAAAAAAGTTGATGAAAGGGGCCAGCAGGTGGCATGATGGTTAAGGTGCTGGACTCCTACATGGCTGACCATGGTTCCAATCCCAGAACTGGTGGCTTGCTTTCTCCCTTTCTCTATCTCATACTCAGTCTCTCTCTGGTCAAATTAAAAAATAATAATAATAACAAATAACATTAAATAAATAATTGTTTTTTAAAAGATTTAAAAAGTGGAATTTAAGTATTAGTTTCCTTTGGTGTGCAAATTTTTAAATTCCATGCATAGTTTTTTTTTCATAATATGTATTCTCCATGAGCTTTTTTCTTAATTTGCTAGAGGACAGGTGTGCTTGCCAAAGAGAGAAAGGGAGAAAGCAGTCCCCCAGTGGGGCCTGGTTATGCCACAATTTCTTCTCCATTCTTCATCCTGTTGGAATTTTGGGCACTCACTCTCATGTGCCGAGGTTTTTTAAGCTGCAGAGGCTGGGACTAGAGCCACTTTTGCCCTTGTGGGACCTGGCTCCCTTAACCAATAGGTGGTAGACCCTGCCTTCTGTGAACTTTTTGAAGACTACCCCCCCACACACACACACACACATACTCTGAGCATATGAATTCCAAGATCGGTTCCCAACTGCAGATAATGCAAAGGAGAGAGCAAGAGAGAACAGAGTTCCATCCCCACTCCTTGGAGAAAAGTGGTTCCACATGCTTCAATTTTCCAAGATAAGAGAGATATCGAGGATGTCACATGTTCACCTTGATGGTCTCTGCGACCTTCACCTCTTCAGCTGTAAGTTCGACGGCTGACATCTCACTCGCTGTAAAGTACTGAGAGGCAGGAATCATTTTTCCATCTTCGAACTGCAGGTTTCTTACCATCAGCTACAAAATAGCAGCAAAACGAGCAGAAAAATGGAGGATTAGGACACGCAAAAATGAGGCTGAGGGATGGCAGAGTCTTATATATTATACAAGTATAAGGGTCAGTTTACTTGGAAAATGCAAAAATGTGGATTAAAAGCACTTACCATCATGTGTGGAAGGACTGAAATGGTATTTTAATAATGACAGCAGAAAGGAGGAAGTTAAGTATAGGGCCAGAAACATCTCAAAATGGATAATAAGGCCCCACCTGGCATTTGGGTGTAGGTGTTTGGACTAAAACCTACTGTGACCACTTCCACCACGCTGCTGCTGCCATCACGTGAGCACTTGCTCTGCACCACCCACAGTGCACACAAGGGGGCATCGTGAACTCCATGGAAAATGGAATTGAAGTGTGGGTTTATTTGGAAATCCATGCAAAGATTTGTCATAACACGTACTTCCTAGGAACTTTTCAAAGTCCCTCAGATGTGCTAAAGTGTCTTAAATTTCAGCAATCCTGATGAAAGCAGATGGAGGCTCCATGAGGTTAACTTGCCCAGTGCCTCTCAGATAGGAACAGAACTGGGGTTAAACCGCAAATTAGACTCTAAATCCTATAATCTTTAAGAATTATTTTATTTAACATTTATTTATTTATTTATTTTAATTTGACCAGAGAGGGACAGAGTGAGAAAAGGAGAGAGAGAGGGGAAGTGAGAAAGCAAGCCACTAGGTCTGGGTCTTGAACCGCAGTCGGCCATGTGGGAGTCCAGCACCCTTAACTACCACACCACCTGCCGGCCCCAATCCTACAATCTTAATTGATTTATCTTGCAGCAACTGGAAAACATCTGTAAGCTACAAATTCCCTTTAGCACTCTTCGCTAGGAAGCTGCCCAAGAGCACACAGAGGCCCAGAGCCTAACCTCCCAAGCACAGGCAGGATAGCTGGGCGCCGGCCTGCTGAGGCAACAGCTACACCCATCTAAAGAGGGCTGTAGCCATTTCATTTGTTCCTCCCAAACTCTGACAGTGGACGGGCAGATGTAGAAATTCCTCTCTCTGTTTTATAGACAGGAAACTGATACTCAGAGGAAAGAACCATCATTCTTAAGTCCAATCAGTAGTGGCAGGGCAGGGAATCTCACCCTCGTCTCCAGGTTACATTCCAACCTCTTTCTACTATCAGAAGGCAAACTGGCAGGTCTTGGGAGGTGGAAGAGGTCCAGCCTGAGGAGCCTCGCCGTTGCCAGGGTACATAGAGCCGGGTGATCTGTCCACCTCATCCCCAGTAAGAAATGGAAGTACAGGTAGCCCTAGCCTCCCACGTCCCAGTGCAAAGCCAGATTGCCTCGTGAAAGCTTTTACCTTATTAGTGTCAGTTATAAAAGAAAGCCAAAAGTAATTTCATAGGAGATCACATTGAATACTCACTGCTTTTCCATCATTACCGAAAAGAACAAGTCCATGTTTGGTAACAAGACCAGGCTTCTTGGCACCTTTCATTTCTAGTGGCTCTCCGGGAGGCACAGAACTATTCAGTAATGAGGAGCCGTAGAAAGTGACCATCTAAGAACAAAGAAATCGAACAAGGATTGCTAAATCAGGAAGTAAAGCTGCTCGCAGGGGCTTGTGCAAACATCACTCCTGACAAAAGCCTGAACTTCAAATTATCACCTGTAGGAAAACTGAGAAGCCACAGTATGAGAGATTGTCTCAGGCATTCATAGAGATGGCACAACCTAAGAGACCCTGTGAGTGTGTGATGGAAGAGCTTCTCAAATGCCTCACATCCAAGCACTTGGGTATGTGTTTTTTACCTGTTCACATTGTTACAAAGGTGAATGAGAAAATGAGAAAAGCCTTCAGAGCCTCTGAGGAAAAAAAAAAAAAAAAGCCCTCAGCCATTAGAGCCTGAAGGTAAGGTGTGGGAAGGCAGGGAGGTGTGGTGCGGAGGTGGGCGAGGAGCGGTAGAGTAGCATTCTATTACAGTCCCGTGTGAATGCTGAGAAGTACAGGTGGTTTGTGGGTAGTTCCTACAAATGAACAGATCCTGATTGTAACCAACAGATACTCCCACCAATTGATTTATTATTATAATTCCATGACTATTAACTATCGTGTATTGATCACCATGGCATACTTAGTCTATGCCATAGCTATTAACTAATTTAGTCTTGACAATAACCCACAGGGAATCAGAATTATTTCACAAGTTCCATTTTACAAGGAGAAAACCAAAACAGGCAGTGGTTGAGTAACCTGCCAAAGAGCACACAGAAAACAGTGGCAGAGTCAGAATTTTAATGGAAACATTTTGGCTTCAGATCCCATACTCAACTAAGACACTAAACTTTCACCCTTGTTCATTCATGGATCATACATTTTTCACTTGCCACCTAATATGCACTAAGAATACGTGGAAGTGCTGAGATTATGGAGACAGTAAATGAAGTCCTTGCTCAAAGGGGTCTATAGGCTAGTGAGGCAGGATTGATAGAGACCCCTTACAACATATAGTATGCTAACTCAGAGGTAGGCAGAGTGTTGTTGGAACAGAGAGGTTGGGCACGTGAGAAGATCAGGAAACTCTTAGAGGGGGTAAAACCCAGCACCCTAGCTGAGTCCAGATTCCCTCGGCGATGGAAGGCCTGTCATACCCCTGCCCATCTCTCCTGCCTCATCTCTCCCTGTGACCTCTCCTCACACCTGAGACCCTGGCTTCATTGACTTCTTTTTGCAAGTCCTTGCCCTGGGTCTATCTTCTATCTTCTATCTCTGGTTTCTACTTCTGTCTCGCTCTCTACCAAGGTGACTATCCTTTAAGTTCACCCCAAGCAGCTTTTCTAGGAAGCCTTTCATAACACACCAGAGTTTGGACATTCATCTCTTTTAATTTACTGCATCGTGAGTGCCAGTTCACCTCTCTGTTTTCCTCCTAAAATCGCAGGCTCCTGAGAGCAGGGTCTGTGCTGAGTGTCTGCGTCACAGTAAATGCTCAACCTCAGCTGAGTAAAGAAGAGGGTGGATCAAAGACCTTCCTCAAGACCAAGGGAAGAACCAAGGAAAGTTTGAACTTATTGGCAATACCCCTGACAATGGTAACATGGAAAATAAAAAGGAACCTCGAACATACCTGTCCATTTATCTCCGTCCAAGCTCCAGGGACTTTATCATGACCTCGGATCCAGTTATGCAAAACTTCGGCAGGCTGATCCCAAGAAATCTAGGAAAGCATAAAGCACAGGCTGACTCGCTGCTGTGAGTCTTATGAGGAATAGAAACATTTCTCTCCACTGGTGGTACAGGTGGGGTGGTGGGCTGGGCTGGCTTGGAGACCTACCGTACAGCACAGAGTTAGTGCTGAATAGATTGGGAAGTACGTAGAGGCAGAGGGTGGGGAACTTTCAGATGTGATGTTATGTTGATTGGATAGACATACCTCGGCATTTTCCTTTTTCTGGATACCTTCATATGTTGCCCCTTCTACTGGCTGGGGAACACGAGGAGCTTTTCCATCAGCTATGAGTTGGACGGCCTCGACCTAAAGCCAAAACCAGCAACTGTGTTACAGTCCAATGATCGGCAATGGCATGTTCTGTTTAACTTAGTTTCTGCTGAACAGAATTACTACATATTAATTTGCTCAGAGAGTCAGACAGTGATAATAACTGCCATTTCATCAGGCCTATCCATGTGCCAAGCGGTGCAGTAGCTATTTTACATAAAATATCCCTCGCAAACATCACACAAATACTGGGAGGTGGATACTATTATTCTCGTTTTATAGATGAAAAATGTAGTTTAGAGAAATTAAGTAACTAGCTCAAGATCACAGAGATAGCTTCTGGGACTCAGAGGCGGTAGTTTTATATCCTCTTTCTATTGCTAATAGCAAGCTTGCACTCTCTTTCACTTTGTTTTTAGGTTGTTGCCATACAGTGCATGTGCTCACTGGAGAGAGAAAAGAGAAAGGGAGATAGCCCCCCAGGGGGGACTGCCACACCACAATGCCTTCTTCTCCTCTTTCTTCTCAGGATTTTGGGCACACACACACACACACACACACACACACACACACATACACAGAGCATGATTTTCAAACCACCTGGTCTGGGACTCAAACCATAGTCACCCATGTAGGAATCCAGTGCCTTACCATCACACCACCTGCTGGCCCCATGTCTGTACTCTTAAAAACAACTCTCTTAAAAGCAACTCCCTTTGGGATGACCCCATGGCCTGGTGGTTAAAGGAGTCAGATTCCACATGGCCACAGTTTGAATCCCAGCCATGGTGGCTTGAAAAGCAACATGGGCACAAGTGCATGCCCCAAAATCCCAACCAGATAAAGTATGGAGAAGGAATTGAGGCATGACTACATCCCACTGGTGGGGGGCTTTCTCCTCTTCCCTTGTCTCTCTGTATCTCTCTGGTGAGCATATGCACCCTCTGGCAAAAAAAAAAAAATTTCCCTTGTTTAAACAAACTTCAGCCTCTTCTTGGTGATTCAATGGAAATTTCAGGAATAAGTCAGTGTGGCTGAATTTATTCATCATGATGCTTCTAGAAATGGATACATTATTGTATTTAATTAACTTGCTTTCTAGCTTAGAATTTCCTGGAATACAAAGTTAAAAATCCATCCATGAGTTTCATTGAGTTGTGTCCTACACTCTCTTCCCTGCCATACTTAAGGTTGAGTTGAGCACCTCTCCCCTTCCCTGAGAGGTCTGTGTGAGTTTAAGTTCTCAGATTTCTCTCTAAAGACTCACAGCTGCTGACCAACCTACCCAAGAACACATAGAGGGAGCCACCTGAAAACAGCCAAGTTCATAGCTCATTCCATCACCTCTATCTACTGGGTCATCAGATAAGTCATGACGCATTTTGCATAGAGAAATATGTTGTGACTTTTCCAATGACCCAATATAATACCGTCAGGTAGAGAATCTGGGCTTGAGTAGATGCCACTGAGCACATGTAATACTAGTATTTTTGTTTTTGCTATAGGGCACGTGCACTTGACAGAGAAAAAAGACAGAGACAGAGAGAGGAAAAGTGAGAAATCACCCCCCAGGGGAGATGACCACACCAGTCCCTTCTCCTCCATTCTCCTCTCAGGATCTTCGGCACACATGCACGTATGCCCAGTGTGATTTTCAAGCAACTAGATCAGGACTGGAACTGTGCAGTTGGTCGTGTGGGATCCAGTGTCTTAACCTCTCCATCACCTGTTGGCTCAATACTAGCTTTATCGTAATTATTTTTTTAACACCTAATGTGTGTCAGATGCTTTACGCAAACAGTACCATTTAATTTTCACAACAAGCCTACAAGTCAGGCAGTATTATCTGCATTTCATAGATGAGCAAGCCAAGGCTAATGAAGTCAAGCAACTAGCCCGTTGTCACTACAATAAATAAGTGGTAGAATGAGGACTTGAACACAGGTGTTTCTGACACCAAAGCCCTACTGTCTTAGTCATCACGTGATATAAACAAAACATTGCTCTTACCACTTCTCAGTCAACAGCTACTACTTTATATATAACCTTGATACTTTTACCACACAATACTGGGGGAAAACATAAAATGGTATTGCATTTACCTGGTGAATCTTCTAATTTTTTACAGGTTAAAATCTTTACTTCGTGATGGTCATTCTTTGGACTTTTTAACCAAGAGCACCTCTGAATAAGTAAAGCAATATCAAACTTCACCCTATTACACAGATTGACTTAAAATACTTTTAGTGGAAGTCCAAATTACATAGCAAAATCTCTTAAGATTCTGTATACTTCTGTATAATTAATCATCATAAGCGGTTGGAGATTCAAGTATTTGGGGAAAGAAAAGGAGCAGTTTCATTGCTACTTCATCTATTTGATCACTACAAGAAGAACAAGTCAGTTTCACAAAGAATTTTTTTAAGGTTTTTCTTTTTTTTGGGGGGGGGCTGTGTTTCCCCATAGGGTGTGCACTCACCTGGGAGAGACAAACACAGAGAGAGGGAAAATAAAAAATCACCACTGGGGGGCAGTGACCAGCCTCAATTGCTTCTCCTTCATTCCCCTCTTGAGATCTTGGGCACACATTCACATGCACCCAGTGTGATTTTCAAGCTGCTGGGTTTGGGACTTGAACTGTGAGTCATCCATGTGGGAATCCAGTGCCTTAACTACTATGCCCCCTGCTGGTCCCAGACTAAGAAATTTTAAAGTTCATATTTTCACCCTAAATACATCATCCTATATAAATATAAACTTATACTGGAAAACAAACCAAGATGATGGCACTGAGTGAGGGTAAGTGTTTGCTGTGGCGGTTGAAAAGAATTGGGGTACAGTCATTCACTCCCCAGAAGACATCTGGCCCCTAGAAAATCCAGCAGCTGATACATGAGGGAATTGCCCCAGAAGAGGGAGGTCCAGATGCAAAAGATGCATCTGTCACATTCCTGTCAACTAATGGATCACCCCAACCAGAATCACCTCCTTTGAAATCTAGCAAATATGCATTATTTATTTATTATTTTTTAGCAGAGTGGGAACATTTTCTTCTTTGAAATGGGCAAGTAAGACCTCTGAGCTGTCTCTAGTTGACAGTGCAAATACAGCTGGCTCACAGTGGCCTGTAATATGCTCAAATGCTCCAGTTGTCAACTTTTCTCTGTGGCAATTTACACACAGCTTTTTACCTTGAGCTGAAGAAAGTGTACTGCCCATGAGAAGTCCTGTTCTGGCCAAATGCTTCGCCAGACCAGTTTGGGATGTTGCTACTGGATGAGCCTGCCATTCTTAGTGAATTCCTAGATTGCTCTCAAAGCCTTTGTCACTTGGACCTCCCGCCTCCCTGAGACCAAAAGATTTGAAAATGATGTGCTTGTCAGAAGACAACATCAGTCTTCTTTTACACCTGCTAGAAGATGAACTTGATCACCAAAGCGATGAGAGGAAAACTGTAATTAAGCTAGTCTCAGGCATCCAAGTCCACATCACTGCCTGTATACTGCCGGTGTGTGGCTGGGCGTATAGTTCTTCTTTGGAACTCATGCAGCAATCCCTGATAGCATGTTCACTGAGAAAGGTAAAGCTCTGGGGCTTCTGGCAGATTGAATCATCCATGACCAACCTGGGTGCATCTTTGGCTTGACCAGCTCTCCAACCCCAGGCTCTGAGGGCGGCCAGAACACTTTCTGCTTGTGCCTCAATCTCCTCAGAGGATAATGACTCAGAGCCAGGCTGCCACATGTTCCTTGGCTCAGAGCAGGCTGAAAACAACCCAGATCCCATCGTCTCCCAGACTCAGAGCTAGGACTCTTCTAGTCTTGTTGACCATCCAGAGCTGGAGGCAGGTAGTTCTACAGCCAGAACCTGCCCTGTGACCCAAAGTATGGAAATGGGACACCAGTGGCCTGAAAGTACCTCTTGCCCTCTGCAGAAAGCCAAACGAGCTTGCCTTTGCTCTTTCAGCAGCTCAGACACATTTTTCTGAGTTTTTGTTTGTTTGTTTAACATTCAGTCACTGTGTATCATTACAGCATACCAAATGAATTTTCCCATCACGAATACACTGTATTGGTCAAGTCAAAGATATTATCATACACATTATCATCAACAGAAAATTTTTCATTTTTGTAGCCCTTAAATGTTCTTTCTTTAAAATTATTTTATTTAATTTTATTTACCATCTTTTTTTTTTTTTTTAATATTTGACCAGAGAGAGAGAAAGAGAGAGAGAGGAAACATGAGAAAGCAGGCTGGTCCAGGACTCAAACCACGGTCAGCCATGTGGAAGTCCAGTACCTTAACCACTACGCCAGCCCCACTTTTAAATGTTTTGTTTCTTTCTTTTTCTTCTTGATTCACTCCCTCTCACCTTCTTTGTCTCCTAAGTTTCTTAGATCCCACTTTTCAGCATAGGAACTGATGCCCTGCTATCACACTTGGCAAAGAAACCACGGAGAATGGTAGAGCTGAGCTAGCCTTTAGCACCATCAGGGCCAGGCTAGAAGGCAGTGCTGACTGTCTTGCTGGCCCACAGGCAGTCTTATCAGTCCATGGTAAGACTCATGGAGTCCCTGAGAAGTCAAGGAAAGTTTCCGTACATTCCATCAGTGAGAACCATTTTTTTAAAAGAATTATTTTTGTTCATTCATTCATTCATTCATTCAAATTTGATCAGAGAGAGATGAGAGAGAGAGAAAATGAGAAAGCAAGCCACCAAGACCCAAACCGTGTTTGGCCATATGGGAGTGTCCAGCACCTTAACCACCATGCCACCTGCTGGTTCCCCATCAGTGAGAATCTTTATGTTCACCCTGAAGATATTTCAGCTCTTCCTAGAGAGAACTGGTGTGAGAGCAACTTTTTAGCAAATAAAGTCTGAATTCCTTTCGGTCAGCTGATCCTAAGTCTTTTTCATTCTGATTTAATCATTAGAAGATGCTGGTGTTGCAAAGCCAATGAGTGTCAGACATGTACATCTGACTGAGGAGAGGCTATTTCAATATGGATAGGGATGTGGACAGGCTAAGGCACAGCAGGCCTTAGGAGTGCAGGGTTATGAAACTAGATGGAACATTAAAGACCTGAGCACCCATTTCAGTACTATGAGTGCAGGGCAGTGTTCTGAGTGCTCTTCTTCCAGTCATGTTGATAACTGTATTAATAAAATATTTGCAGGGCCAACAGGTGGTGTAGTGGTTAAGGCGCTGGACTCCCACATGGCGGACAGTGGTTCAAGTCCCAGACTCAGTAGCTTGAAACATGTGCTGGGTGGTGTGCATGTGTGCCCAAAATCCCAAGAGAGGAATGGAGAAGGGATTGTGGTATGCCATCCCCTTTGGGGGACAATTTCTTACTTTCTGTCTCTCTGCCTCTCTCTGTCTCTCTGGTGAATATATGCATGCTATAGCAAAAATCTCTCAAAAAATAAAATAAAATATTTGCTAAGATTTATTAAAAATGCTTTTAAGCTTTACATAGTTTTGGAAAATTCATATGGGTATGTCCTCAATAAAAGAAAAATATTTCCAAAACTTTAAAGGTTTACTATGTTTTCTAAATGTCATCAATATACTGACCATGGCTTTGATTCCTTCTGGAAAAAGAAATCGATTATAAAGTGCATCCACCGTGTCATTGGGTTTGACATCACATGATCTCTGAAGAAGTATGGGTCCTGTATCTAAACCATCATCAGCCCAGAAAACAGAAAATCCAGCTTTCTTATCACCCATTATTAAAGTCCTGTGAAAAGAAGAGTTTCAACTTAAAATATTGGTAACTGTATTATAAAGTAATGACTTAGTGATATTAAAGTACAAGGTTGTTATAATGGAAAACTAGAAAGTGAAGGAGCCAACTGTGAGAAATTGGCAGTAGACCTGGGAGATGTCAGAGCTCATAAAAAGCAATTCCTAAAGATACTTTTATTTTATACCTTCTCATAGCTGTTGTTTTTCTTGTTAATACATACTGATGACTTACAATGAATTTAAAAAGGCATTAGATTCATCATTATTACCACTAATTGACTCCCAGGTGTCAGGTTTCTACTTAAGGGTCAAGTAATTTGCCTACCTGGCACTGGTTCCTACATAGCGCTTCACCATGTATTAGGCAGAATAAGAATGGAAAATAAAACAGAGAATACTCAGTGTAATGTGAAGAGGAGAACTGATTATTAACTTAAGTTGTGTAACTGAGGTATAAGCTTCATGTAGGATTGGAATAAGCTCTAGGATGTCTATATAAATTGTAGTAAAAGATGATTGATTAATTCAATATTTATATTTTGTGTTGTATAAAGTTTAAGAGAAAACTTATCCTGGCCTTTCAGGAACTTATAATACAAACAATGAACTTCCTGGACATGTGGACAAATACACATAAATGCCTATCAGAGCAGGCTGTTATAGCCTATATAAAGTGGTAGTTCTGCCAAGTACATGATTTAAGTCATTTTTACTCCTCTGAGCTACTAATTAACCAAGACCTACATCAAACAATCAATCAATTACTCTTTTCAGAAATTTTGATGAATTAATTGGCATTGTATTATCAAGACACTTGAAGATATTCATATTGACTCAATGACTCCACATGTGGAAATACTATGAAATGAAAAAAAAATGATACAAAAGAGAAATCAATTCAAGTAATCAAACTTGAAAAACAATGAAATATTTCTCATCATGTTTTTCTTAAAAATTTGCTATAGGGCACATGTGCTCACGAGAGGGGGGCGGGGAATGCGAAAGCATCCCACCTTCACCCCCTGGTGGAGGAGGGGATGGCCATGCAGCAATCCCTTCTCCTTTCTTCTCCTCTCAGGATTCTGGGAACATGTGCATATGCCCTGCAAGTTTTCAAGCCATCAGATCTGGGACTTGAAGTGTGCAGTTGGCCATGTGGGATCCAGCTGCCTTAATCACATCACTTGCTGGCCCCACATTTTTTAACAATGTAGACTTTTGACCTTTCAAAAACTTGACATTGAGGGGTATCAGGAAGATGTGCAGGTAAAGGAGAGAAAGTAGAAAGGTGGGAAAGGCCCACCTCTACTCATAGAATAGTGTACCGATGGTACTGGGTACCTTTAGTGTGCCGAGCACTGTTATTGATACTGGAGAAATAGTATTAAAAATGTTGAGCCTGTGACCAGCAGGTGGCATGCTGGCTAAGGTATTGGATTCCCACATGACCAATCACAGTTCAAGTTGCAGACCCAGTGGCTTACTTTCTTACTCTCCCTCTCTGTCTGTCTGTCTCTCTTCAGTAAGCATATGTGCCCAACAACAAATTTTAAATATGTGGTGATAATAATAATAAATAAAATTAAATAATTTAAAAATTTTTATATGTAGGGCCAAGTTGCTTTTCAAGAAGCTTGAAGTTGGGGCCAGCAGGTGGTATGGTGGTTAGGGGACTTCCACATGGCCAACCACAGTTCAAGTCCCAGAACTGGCAGCTTACTTGCTCACTTTCTCGGTCTCTTTCTCTCTCACTCTATCCCTCTCTGGTCAAATTAAAAAAAAAAAAAAGGATAAAAAATATTAAATAATAATTTTTTTAAAAAGATTAAAAAAAAGAAGCTTAAAGTTGAATGGAGGAGTACAGACAAGAAGATAATTTCAGGTAATTCAGCACCTTCTGCAATGTACTTGAGATAATCTTTGCAAAAAAAGTTCTGTGGTCAAATAAGTTTGGGACTACTGTATGCTCAGTTTCCCTCTTAGAGATTCTGATACTCATATTAAACCACTTATTAAACACTCAAAGAAGACCTGCAACAAAGAAATCCAACATAAACCAAACGTAGCTGACCACTGAGCATTAGTTTGCTCAATGTCTATGACATAACATTTGGTGTAACTAGCACTCCATAGACTGTTCTTGGGAAATGCTGTCTTGGTCCATGCAGTATGTCCAGAGGCAGGGGAGTTCATGCAGCAGTAGCAATCTGTTAGGACCTCACAACTGTTCAAGTATACTCATTTCCTGACCACCTAAGTCAAAAACAGAAAGACTACTGACAATGGAAATAGACTCATCCTGTTACTAGAAAATCTTACCAGTTGATAGCAGAGGCTCCTCTGTGCCTGGGCAGGATGGACGGGTGGTAAATGATAGAACCGTGCTTTGGGCTGTCAATTACATCCATGGGGATGAACTGCGTGCAGAAGGGAAGCACGTTCAGCTCGGCGCCCACGGATCTATAGGCCTCTGCCACCTCTTTAATGGTCTTGCCCTTGACTCTCCATCGAGGGAATTTGAACACAGGGGTCCCATCTTTCTCTGCAGCCAAAGCTGAGCAGGAAAAAAGAAGACAATTTTTATTTTTAAAAAAGTTAGCCATAATTGAGCCAGCCGGTGATATGGTGATTAAGACACTGGACTCCCACATGTCCGACAGCAGTTCAAGCCCCGAACCTGGTGGCTTCAAATTCATACTGTGTGTGTGTGTGTGCGTGTGTGCTAAAAATTTCAATAGGAGAATGGAGGAGAGAGGATTACAATATGACCAGCTCCTGGGGGAGGGTGATTTCTCACTTTTCGTCTCTGTCTCTCGCCGGTAAGTGCATGACAAAAAAAAAAAAAAAAAAAAAAAATTTAGCCATAACTTTATATTGCTATGGATTTACATATTTTAATTTGACAATTTTATAAAACATTTACAAATATAATATGATAAAGAACGATTTAGATCTGGTGTCATCTATTTTTCGATTGGGATACTTATATACTTAAAACATGATATATTTGAGCACAAAAATTTGTAGTTAGACAATATTTTGAGATTTTAATTGATATTTTTTGTTTATTTTTAGTTTGCTATTGGGTGTGTGTGTGCTTACCTGAGAGGTACGACAGAGATAGAGAAAGAAAGTGAGAAATCACCCCCCCCCATGGGGGATGGCCACACCACAATCCATTCTCCTCTCAGGATTTTGGGCATACATGCAAACATGCTCAGAGCATTTTTCAAGCCCCTGGGTCCAGGACTCAATCATGCAGTCAGGATCCAGTCGCCATAACTTTCTTCCCACCTGCTGGCCTTTGAAGTGTTTTCAGCTTTACTGCCAATACTTCACCCCCAAATGGAACACACCAAGTTTCCAGTACAGTTGAAAAGTCCTACAGAGACAAGCAGTAGATCAGAACACGCTCTCCCTGCGGAATGGGCAGGTCCCAGAAGAGGCAGGGTTAAAGGTGATGAGCTGAGCTTGTCTCATTCCTTCTCTCAAATTCACCAGCTAGCAGAAGAGAGAAGCCAAGAATGGAGAATGCATGCTCAGCTCCCTGTAAGAGTTCTGCTACACTGGGAGAGATCCAGGTCTCCTTCTGAGGAAATCATCGTCCTTTCCCAAGCAAATGACTCCATTCTAACGCCATGTGAAAATGGAATGGCCCCCCCAAAGAACAGGCATCACAGCCCATTTTTCCATAACAGTATGTCACTTTTACTAACTACATACCTCAATGTCTATGACATAACATTTGGTGTAACTAGCACTCCATAGACTGTTCTTGGGAAATGCTGTCTTGGTCCATGCAGTATGTCCAGAGGCAGGGGAGTTCATGCAGCAGTAGCAATCTGTTAGGACCTCACAACTGTTCAAGTATACTCATTTCCTGACCACCTAAGTCAAAAACAGAAAGACTACTGACAATGGAAATAGACTCATCCTGTTACTAGAAAATCTTACCAGTTGATAGCAGAGGCTCCTCTGTGCCTGGGCAGGATGGACGGGTGGTAAATGATAGAACCGTGCTTTGGGCTGTCAATTACATCCATGGGGATGAACTGCGTGCAGAAGGGAAGCACGTTCAGCTCGGCGCCCACGGATCTATAGGCCTCTGCCACCTCTTTAATGGTCTTGCCCTTGACTCTCCATCGAGGGAATTTGAACACAGGGGTCCCATCTTTCTCTGCAGCCAAAGCTGAGCAGGAAAAAAGAAGACAATTTTTATTTTTAAAAAAGTTAGCCATAATTGAGCCAGCCGGTGATATGGTGATTAAGACACTGGACTCCCACATGTCCGACAGCAGTTCAAGCCCCGAACCTGGTGGCTTCAAATTCATACTGTGTGTGTGTGTGTGCGTGTGTGCTAAAAATTTCAATAGGAGAATGGAGGAGAGAGGATTACAATATGACCAGCTCCTGGGGGAGGGTGATTTCTCACTTTTCGTCTCTGTCTCTCGCCGGTAAGTGCATGACAAAAACCTAAAAAAAAAAAAAAAAAGTAGCCATAACTTTATATTGCTATGGATTTACATATTTTAATTTGACAATTTTATAAAACATTTACAAATATAATATGATAAAGAACGATTTAGATCTGGTGTCATCTATTTTTCGATTGGGATACTTATATACTTAAAACATGATATATTTGAGCACAAAAATTTGTAGTTAGACAATATTTTGAGATTTTAATTGATATTTTTTGTTTATTTTTAGTTTGCTATTGGGTGTGTGTGTGCTTACCTGAGAGGTACGACAGAGATAGAGAAAGAAAGTGAGAAATCACCCCCCCCCATGGGGGATGGCCACACCACAATCCATTCTCCTCTCAGGATTTTGGGCATACATGCAAACATGCTCAGAGCATTTTTCAAGCCCCTGGGTCCAGGACTCAATCATGCAGTCAGGATCCAGTCGCCATAACTTTCTTCCCACCTGCTGGCCTTTGAAGTGTTTTCTTTTTTTTTTTTTTTTAATAAAAAATGGTACCTTTATTGCCGATACAACCCTCTAGAACATAGCTTTACTGCCAATACTTCACCCCCAAATGGAACACACCAAGTTTCCAGTACAGTTGAAAAGTCCTACAGAGACAAGCAGTAGATCAGAACACGCTCTCCCTGCGGAATGGGCAGGTCCCAGAAGAGGCAGGGTTAAAGGTGATGAGCTGAGCTTGTCTCATTCCTTCTCTCAAATTCACCAGCTAGCAGAAGAGAGAAGCCAAGAATGGAGAATGCATGCTCAGCTCCCTGTAAGAGTTCTGCTACACTGGGAGAGATCCAGGTCTCCTTCTGAGGAAATCATCGTCCTTTCCCAAGCAAATGACTCCATTCTAACGCCATGTGAAAATGGAATGGCCCCCCCAAAGAACAGGCATCACAGCCCATTTTTCCATAACAGTATGTCACTTTTACTAACTACATACATTATATCTTTTTAAAAAGTTTTTAGTATTTGCTGTAGGGTGTGTCTGGGCACCGTAGGGAGACAGAGAGAGAGAAGGAAAAGTGAGGAAGTACCCCGAAGGCAGATGGCCATGCCATAGTCCCTTCTCTTCCATTCTCCCCTTGGGATTTAGGGGACATATGCACATGTGCACATATGCACATGTGCCTGGTGAGATTTTCACATTACTGGGTCCAGGACTCGAAATGCACAGTCAGTCATGTGGGATCCAGCTCTTTTATCTCCATGCCACATACTGGCCCCCATACACTATAACCTAAGCATATATACTTATTTGTTTATGTATGCCTACATTTCTATGTAGGCACATCTACATAAATATATTTACATATACTATTATACTAGTATGTATTAGGCTCTTTAAAAAGTTATGGTGTAGTTTTCTGTTTTTCTATGCAAAATAGCATCATGACTTTTCTGACAACCCAATATATTAATTTCAGACAATTTCAAAAAAAACATAACTATGGCTTTTTTAAAGAATTATTTATTTTAAAATTTTATTTATTATTATTATTATTATTTACTTTGCTATAGGACACATGCACCTACCAGACAGAGAGAGAGAGAGAAAGCAAGCTGCCAGATCCAGGACACAAAGTGTAGTTAGCCATATGGGAACCCAGCAACTCAACTGCCATGCCACCTGCTGACCCTAACTAAGGCATGCTGGAGACAGAAACCAGCCCAGGTCTGAGAGATAGGCCAAAAGGAAAGAATGCAGAAAGGAGTTGAAAACAACCCCATCCCCAGACAGAAAGCTGCAGGGACTGCAAGGTCAACTCATGGAGCTCTAGTCATGGGGTGTGTCGTAAGATATTTAATGTCATTCCACAAGCCAAGATATTGCCTACGTACTAAGTTAATGAAAGCTATCGATCTTGTACCAGGAATATAGGCTTCAGAGAATGTCATATATATTGAACACTGTACTCTATAGCTAAACTCACTCACTGCTTATCTGATTAATTTAGAATAAAGAGGCTCTGTTCCATTGCAGTTTTGCTACTTCCCCAGAGAGCTTTAGCCCCCGACTTTTTCCCCTTCATTTATTTATTTATTTATTTATTCATTTACAGTCATTCACTGTACATCAATACAGTATACAAAATGAGATTTTTCCATCCAGTATACATTGTATATTGGCTCAATCAAGGATATTACCATACATATTATCATAAAAAAATAATTATCTATTTCTTATTTCTTACATATTTTGCTTTCTCCCCCTTGATTTCCTGCCTCTCATCCTCTGCCAACTCCCCCCCTTCTTACACACTGTCTCTGGTATATACAGTTGTTTTCCATGCCTTTTTTTTTTCACATTTTATTGGTTCACTAAAGATCTTAACTAATTTAAAGACTTTCAATATCAAGCACAGCTGATATATACATACTTAAGAAAGTATGTTTGACTCAGGCGTAAACCTCAGTGAGTAAAATGAATATATTATAAAGTAGCACCTTGCTGGTAGCCCTTACTATTTCCTTGTCTCTTAGCTCAATCCTTCTCAACATCCTACCTTCAAGCCATAAGTTTTTCACAAAGGCTTTTTAACTGCATTATTTGTCCCCTTTCTTTTCTCCCTGATTCAGTCATTAAAATGAACTGACACAAGATGAGATGAAACCTTTCCCACAAACTTAACTTCTGAAGCCTAAGAAGTTCAAGGGTAGGCCTTGACAATCCATTTAGAAGAATTTGATATAATAATGTTCACAAAATGCAAATGTTCAGAAAATTAAATAATGCACAAGTCAGATAACAGGAAAATGGTTAAATAGTGGTGAAAATGTGATATTGACAGCCAGCCTCATAGCATAGAGGTTAAGCACTGTGCAGAGGAAGTTGGATTCCACATGGCTGAAAAGGGTTTGAGTCTTTAGAATAAAGACTCAAAAGTAGTAAAATAATTTCACACCTAGAACTGTTAATTTTCTCTTTGCTCTAATACCACTGATTATTATTTTTCAAAGAATTATTTTATTTAACTTTACTTATTTATTTTAACTTGCCCAGAGAGAGACACAGTGAAAGAGAGAGAAAGTGAGAAAGCAAGCCACCAGGTCTGGGACTTGAACCACAGTAGCCCCAGCAGCTTGAAAAACACACTTGGTACATGCTACATGCCCAAGGTCCTGACAGGATGGAGAATTAAAGGTAAAAAAGAGTGCAGTGTTAACAAGCCCACTGGGGAAGTACTTTCTCTCTCTCATTCTCTCTCTGTGATACTGGGAGAAAACTGAAAAGTTATTCTGGGAAAGAAAAATGGAGTGGAAAAGACTTAGAATGCTTCATTGTAAAAAATGTACTTCACTGAGACAGGCTTCAGGCATCTAGTTGGTGGGTTTTGGCTGCCCCAGAGCATTATGGATGGCTTATTATGAATGAAGTGCAGGAATGAGCACTTTACATACCTCATTTTATCCCCACAGCAGCCATGTGAGATAGGCCCCTGAACTAAAGCTTAGTGAGGTTAAGTAATTTACCAAAAGTCATAGAGCTAGTAGGTGATAGAGTCATAATCAATCCCCTGACTCTAGAACATATACTCTATCAGTCAAATGGTATTTTTTCTTTTTCTAAGTCATGCCATGAGCCCAAATGAAGAGGTGTCCTGACCCTGGAACTGGACAAAAGGGAAAAGCTTATTTCCCAGGATTTATTCAGAATGGAAGTCTAAAAATGTCACATGCTTATAGTTCTTCTGAAGTCCACGTATGTGGCCAAGACTGCTAGATGTCCTTCATCTTTGAGCAATGAATTCCCTTAGTTTTGCTGAACACAAAGCCACACCAAAGGAAACTGCATTTCTCAACCTCCCCTGCAAGCAGATTTTGCCTATGACTCACTTCTGGTCAGGATATAAAGTGGGAATAAATGAGTGCAACTTCTGGGTTACACCCTTAATTAAAAAAACTTGTCCTCTACTGCCCCTCAAAAAATCCCTTCCTACTTACTGGAATGCATACGTGATAGCTGGTGCTGATGCAGTTACCTTAGACCATGAAGTGGAAGCCCAGAATTGGTAATGGCAATACAGCAAGTAAAAGAAGGGTACACTGGGATGAATGTGGAGCTGCCACACCAGCATGGATGGCTGACTTAGACTTGAGGATTCTTTATTATTATTATTATTTTAAAGTTTATTTATTTCTCTCTTCCACAAGCAAGAGAGAGAGAGAGAGAGAGAGAGAAACCAGCACCCCAACAGGGTCTTCACACCATGATCCATCCCCCATGTTCAGCAAATCCCAGATCATGGGCATGTGCCTGCTTGGTACTCTCCAGACATGAACCTCAAACCCTCCCATGTGGTCAGCCTCACAGAGCGCTGTTATTGTTGAGCCACTGTCCAGCCCCTAGACTTGAGTGTTCTTGACCCAAGTGGGTCAAGCGATTGACTCACCCAGTGGGTCAGCTTTTCCATCCTTGTCTGGGACAGTGAACACCCCCACGACTCGGTGGCCCTCTTTGCAGAGATGGCTGTAGACTTCCTGTCCAAAGAGGCTCTGGCCTATAAGTGCCAGCTTCAGCTTGTTCTTGAAATAAATCTGTGCAGCAATTCAATGAAGACAGATGTGAGCATGGAAAGAAGACTTGTGCAATAAACATTTTTTCAGTAATATGATGACTCAAGGACTATGGAAGGTTCAAAGATTTACAAAATAAAATTTTTATTGACATACTCTAAACCTATACTATATTACATATAGAAAGTAGTAAAATAATTTCACACCTAGAACTGTTAATTTTCTCTTTGCTCTAATACCACTGATTATTATTTTTCAAAGAATTATTTTATTTAACTTTACTTATTTATTTTAATTTGCCCAGAGAGAGACACAGTGAAAGAGAGAGAAAGTGAGAAAGCAAGCCACCAGGTCTGGGACTTGAACCACAGTCAGCCATGGGGGAGTCCAGCACACTTAACCACCATGCCACCTTCTGGCCCCACCCTTGATTAGTCTTTAGAGTTCTTCTAGGTTTCCTGTAAGTTTGCCACAAACTCATTTGGTATGAGATCTGACCTGAATGGATAATGCTATTTATGACTTTAGTTACAATATTTATGAAGGCTGTAGAACATGTGCATGTTTGCTGCAAACAATTCAGTGTGCTTTGTAATAGGTACTGCCCCAGAGCCTGCTGGGAATTTTATGTAATATACTACCTATGTACTATATTAACTTTCTAAAATGTGAATAATTCTAAATTCCAAAATACAAATGACCTCGAAAGTTTCAGATAAAGAATTGAGACCTGAGCATTATTTAACTTAATCTTTTCAATCCTCCTGCTTTATTATTTCCCCCACACTTTGCACCATTTTATGGATGAAGAAACTGAAGCTTTTAAATGTCAAGTATATGGGGTCATCAGGTGGCATAGTGGTTAAGGCCCTTGACTCCCACATAGTCGACCTTGGTTTGAGTCCCAGAGATGGCAGCTTGAAAATCACACTAGGCATGTGTACATGTGTGCCCAAAATCTCAGGAAAAGAACGGAGAAGAAGGGATTGTGGTGTGGCCATCCCCACTGAGGGGGCGGGGGGTGATTTCTCATTTTCTCTCTCACTCTCTCTTGTTTTTTTTCTGTTGAGCTTATATGGCAAAAACCTGTGTCAAATGTATCCCCAAGATCACACAGATAGAAAGGGAGAGAGCTGGGATCTAAATCCAGGCCTGCCTAATTCCACAACTCAACGAGGTATTTAAAAAGAAAGCAATTAAAATGAACTGCTCCCACCCATCTCTTTTATGTTCTTTTTAGATAAAAAATACATTGATTATCAGGAACCAGCAGTTAGCATAATGGCTATGTCGCTGGATTCCCACTTAGTCGACCGCGGTTTGCATCCCAGACGCAGTGGCTTAAAACTCACGCCGGGCGTGTGTGCGTGCCCAAGACCCCGAGAGGAGAATGGAGAAGGGATTGTGGCATGACCATCCCCCCTGGGGGGTGATTTCTTGCTTTCTGTCTCTCTGTCTGTCTAGCAAGCGCACACGCCCTATACCAAAAAACCTCTCAAAAAGAAAAAAAAAAAAAAAACAGTGATTATCAAGGAATATAACAAATAAATGGATTTTTTTAAGTGGCACTTAATGAGTTAAAATCTTAAAGGAATACGTTTAACCAATTATAGTATCTTTGGGGAATTCTCCCAAAGTGGAGCTTTTATTTTTTTCTTCTCACAATGTTTAAGTACATACGCTGACACGATGTTTAAGACAGTGTTGAAAAGCTGTCAGATGAAGGAAGGTAAATGGAGGGTTGTGAGTCCAGGAATGGTAATCAGAGCCTCAGATTTCCCTTGCGCTTCTTTTCTTGGGTGTGGTTCACCAGAATTTTCTGTTACATTCTTTATGTTAGAATATGGTTCTGTATTCTTCCCCTTCGATCTAAATGGAATTCTCTGGAAAGTTATTCTAAATTAGTAAAGCCTCACTGTGAAAATCTAGTTATGAAGAAATTTAATTTTTCCTATTCCCACTTTGTTAAAGCCATAGTTAATGTCCCTTTTAGGCACAAACTTAAAGGGATTCCAGTTTGCAACGTTCCTGTAATTGAGCTGGTAATTAAACAATTAAGGTTTTAGTTTAAAAGTCCTTTTCCAAGACCAGCCAAAGTTTCTATCCCAAAACAACCTAATTAACTTTAACCCAGCAATTAAGTAGTTGCAAGCACACGGATTTAGTTTGTGACAGCAGTACGATTCACCTACAGAAAACGCATGGTTGCTGCTTCATTTCCTCTCTTCAAAAAAATCAAAGTGTTCTATAAATATTCTATTTTCTTATCCTATAGTTAATGCTGTTGCTTGAAATAGAATCTACATGTTGGCCATCCTACAAAACTTTTGGCTTCACCTTATCCATGCCAGAAATATAAGACATCTAAAATACTACTTTGGAAACACACGAGAGTCAAAACACTGAGCCGACTCAACTCACCTGTGCTGCTCAGCTGTTATCTGATTATTTGGAGTTCAACTCCAGATTCAATTCAGACTCTTCCAGAAAGACATTGGGCCGTCCCGTGGTGTGGTGGTGAAGGCAGCTGGGTCCCTCCCCCTAATGCTCTAGCTAGTCAGAATTTGGGGCGAGCACACCCATGATGTTTCAGGTTGATGCAGGATCTGAACCTATGGCCAGCTGTGTGGTTCCCAACACTGCAGAACAGGAGGTAACTGACTGAGCCACAGCGGGTAGGCCTTGAAAAATGTGTATCCAATAGTTATTAGTTTATTCGTCTTTTCTTTAATCCTCAAAGTGACCTTCTGACAAATGAGAAAACATAAGCCCCAGAGAACTTGAGGAACCTGCCCAAGGGCAGAGCTAAAAAGAGGCAAAGAGCAGCCTTCAAAACCAGAGGTATCTCACCTCAGTGAATATGTTTCTATGGCTTTCCTATGTATGAGGTCTTTTCCACATTTTTATTTTTTAGCAAAGAAATACATGACAATAGTTTGACAGGTCAATTGTGGGAAGTAGCTCCATCAGCCTTTCTAAGGGAATACTACAGTGGCCCTAGCATGGGAGACAGCATTGTTCTTTGAAGGGCTCTCATTGTCAGTGCCTATTGTATTGGTGAGAAAGAAAGCATAAAATTACACACAGCATTTCCAAATCTGGGGGATAAGTTCTGTTACCTTGGGTTTCAGTAGAGTAGGCATCTCCAACTTCCAGGCCATGGACCAGTACTGGTCCTTATTAGAATGTAATATTAATGTCAGAAAAGTCATGATATATTTTTCTATGCAAAAATGCATCATGACTTTCTCGACAACTTATTAATACTAAAAATAAAATGCAAAATACATATAATGTGCTTGAATCATCCTGAAACAATCCCCACTCCCATTCCCAGCTCCAGTCCATGAAAAAACTGTTCTATGAAACTGGTCCCTGGTGCCAAGAAAGGTTGGGGACTGCTGCCCTAGAGATAGCATTCCAATTAGTACAGCCTTTTGCAGAGAACAGAGCTTTGTTGTTGTTGCTGTTGTTGTTAGAGGGCATGTACACTTACCAGAGAGAGACACGGAGACACAGAGAAGAGGGAGAGGAGAAAGCACCACTCACAAAGATGCAGGATTCTGGGTGTGCCTGGCCTGTTTCTCAAGCCTCTGGATCAGGACTTAAACCATGAGGTTGGCCATGTAGGATTTGGCTGCCTTAACTACCAGGCCACAGGGTTGGCTTGAGCTTTTGCTTTTTAAAATATCAATTGTTGTATTTTCAGGCTACCCTTCCTCTGGTGGGATTCTTTTTTTTCTTTCTTTTTTTTTTTTAAGAGGTTTTCGTTATAGGGAGCATGCACTCACCAGAAAGACAGAGAGAGACAGAGAGACAGAAAACAAGAAATCACCCCCTAGGAAAAGGTGGCCACACCGCAATCCCTTTTCCTCCATTCTCCTCTCGGGATCTTAGGCATGCACACACATGCGCCCAGAGTGAGTTTAAGCCACCAGGTCAAGGACTTGAACTGTGGTCGACTACATGGGAGTCCAGCAACATAGCCATTATGCCAACTGCTGGTCCCACTCTGGTTGGATCCTTTAGGAAGCAAGTTAATAGGGACATTGACTAAGTCCAAGAATTTAAAAAATAATACAGAGAGTATTTCATAGAAAACTTAAAGGTCCAGGACCAGCTTCTTAGCCTATTGGTTGAAAGAGCCAAATCAGACATGGTCAGCCACAGTTCAAATCCTGGCCCCTGTGGCTTGAAAAACATACCATGTCCCAAATGCCGAAAGGATGGAGAAGGAATTGCAGCATGACCACACCTCCCTGTGTGGTGTTTTCTCCCTCTCTTTCTGTCTCTCTCTGGCAAATGCACACTCTCTCTCACAATTTAAATACATGAATATATAAACAAACACATAGAAAACATAAAGGCCCACTAATAGTCTGCCTTAATCCAAAGCCCTTTTGTGAATCAGATACTAGCTTCAGAGAACCATTTGAGCAAGGCATAAAATAAGGCCAAAGTGGGAACCAGCAGTTAGCGTAATGGCTATGTCACTGGACTCCCACGTAGTCGATCGTGGTTCACGTCCTGGACCCGGTAGCTTAAAACTCACGCCAGGTGCGTGTGCGTGCGTGCCCAAGATCCCGAGAGGAGAATGGAGGAGAAAGGATTGCGGCGTGACCATCTCCCCTGGGGGGTGATTTCTCGCTTTCTGTCTCTATGTCTCTCTCTGTCTGTCTGGCGAGCGCACGCGCCCTATAGCAAAAATCTCCCCCCCCCCAAAAAAAAGGCCAAAGCTATCCACATTAGGAATTTTGAGAACTGGCAGTTTTATAAAAAGGCCTTTTACCCAAAGGTCCAGCCCTGGTACAGTCCATAGCATACTAGATGGGCAGGGCTGGGAGCCACATGGCCAACCGCAGTTCACTTGAAAACATGTCAGGTTGCCAGGATCCTGAGGAGCTGCAGGGCTGGACAAAGGAGATTGGTGTGATGAGGCCCTGTGGAGGTTGCCTTGCCCCACCCCACATCTCTCTCTCTCTCTGTCTCTCTCTCCCTCTCACTCTCGAGCATGCACTATC